GCGAAAATTGCTATTTAGTCTCTGCAGTGGAGACAGACGAGAGGAAAACAGAAAGATGAATGACTTACATCAGTCCTATGCTGAACAGTAAACAAATTCCGACTTTCTTTGATCCACTCATCTGCAGGGAGCTAACTATGGGGATCGGGATGAGGAAAATTATGATCTCGGCGGCGATATTGAAAGCTGTCCCAGAAATAGCGATGTTGGTGATGCTCAAACACTTTCTCTCCTTAATCTCGAAATCGTAGACCGCCGCGACTGGTTGGCATTGGAAAATTGTTAAGAAGGTCACAACCACTTGTGATATCACCAGGAAGGCAATGCCACCGTACGCCATTCTCTTGGTGAGCATATCCGGGAAAATGCGTATGTAGAGGAACAGCATGCAAAGCTTGATGAGGGTGCTGTGAACATGATAGATGACCTCCGTGAGATAATCTATTGACAGCAGTGTCAGATTATCACATTCGATGAGCAGTTCCTGACAGACTGACAGACTTACAGTATTTGAATACATCTGTGTACGAGTGTTTGAAATCGATATCGTAGATGTGCTTCCCCAGTCCTTCAATGCTCACTTGAATAGTGTCAGTATGGGCACCGAAAATGGGAACATGTTGATATCCTTACCCAGTATGGCGATTGCTAGCAGAGGAATCATCACAATCTGTCAAAGAGACATTTTCGTGAGTAATGGTTGAAACAGAGCAGGTTGATTCCGTTCGAAGCAACTCACAGCTCCTAGGATCTGGAACCAATCATCGACCCACAGCTTGTTGCCAGAGAACCGACGGGCGACAAGCCTCAGGATCAGCATCGAAAAACAGACGGATCCGGTCATGATTGAAACGCCCCACACAGTTGGGTTCAGAGAATTATGAGGGAGCTCGCATAGTTGCGCCTGCAATCGAGCCAAGGCTGCACGCCCTACTATCAGCGCTGTTTGGCGACGGATGGAAATAGGGGTGTAATTTACTGATAGAATCTTCCATGGTACAATTCCCCAAAACACAATTTGCTGCTTCCTTTGTGACGGCTTCACTTTGGCATTGGCAATCAATGTCCGTAAGTGCACATGGTCCAGCCGGTGCGCTTTGTATCACACAACTCAGCTGATATCTGTTAGCCATTTGGGAAAGTCTCTTCAGGGTGGGCATCAGGAAGCCAACTAACTGCACACTCAGGAAGACCATAGACCATTTTCAAAGCATCGGGCAAAGGAATATCCAACGCTTGTACCGCCGCGAAGCTAGCCAGCACACAACCGAAGACGTTTAGGAGCTTCATCTTGTTTCAGACCAAAGCAATTGTTGTCGTTACCAATCGTTGAAAGCCCTCAGAATTCAGGATTCAAAAGATCTCTGAAGACTGGCTCATCTGGACAGAGACAGAGACAGCCCGGTAATAAATATTCAATTGCCTCAAAGCCTCCGAGCCGGGCGAGAGCCCAAGCCTTCCACAGAGGCTCGCGTAATAGTGCCCGTCTGTGCAGACCTCAGAGCGTTCTCGAAGCCACCTAGACATGGCGATTACGGTGTAGTCTCTTGACACTTGCGAACTTGGCGGCTGGACGTGGTCTTGGAATTTCGTACCGTGACTGGCTGCCGACGGCCAATCCTTTGATCTCAAAGGCCCGCATTGACCTGGTGGCCATGAAGACTATCCCGCACTGGAGTAGTCCTATTATGAAGTGCTAGCGATGTTTACAGTGGATGGAAGCCTCGTGGAGCAAGCGTGCCTGCTAAAGCCGGCCCGGGAAACTTTCGACCAAGGGCGATCGTTAACTAGCCGGTCTCCCACTAACGTTGAACTACACACAACTTGTCAGGGCGCAACTGACGCGCACGGTCTCGGAGCGGAACACCACAAGAAAAAGATAGCTGACCAGGCCGCCGGACATGTAGAAGCCCATCTCATGGCCTTCCCAGGTCGGATTAATCTGCGGGGTCTGCGGCTGACGACCTCGGGACCGAGCAGAGACAAACTGATGGAGAGAAGTTGAGCTATGCACAATACAGTATGGATCAACCACCAAAATGGAAGACCTTCTAGCACCTGGCATATCTTATTATCCCGAAGACCATTCCAGAGATATGGGGTATTGAAGGAATCGATCATCTCAACGTCCCGCAAATATTGGAGGGAGTGAATCTTATTGATGGCTATCATATGTTCCTAAGCGTTTCTTCAGCTGATTGCTTCAGACGGTCTCTTCAGCGCTCCGGAATGCTGAGTATGTGCGTGTGCACGAAGGCCTGTGTATCATTTTCTCTGGAGAAGCTTGCTTCCGGTCCTAGTCACAGCCAGTCATCATCGTCGTGCAGACCGTAGCCCTTGAAGGGTATAAGCGCACCACTCTTCTTCCACCACCAGTGACTACCGCAAGATCGGCAATTCATATGTGGGCACCCGCCGTTCTTCTCAATTGCTTCGCTGCATTTCGGACACCGTCGAATGTCTGCCGTCTCAAATAGCTTGACCATGTCAGGGTCGGATACACAATCCCCGGTGTGCTTAGGCGTCCGGCACTTTGCACAGCTCCACAGGCCGCAGGAACGGCAGAGGATACCGCCCCCGCCTCGCTTTGACGCGGCCAGCCGAAGCGCCTTCTCGTCGAAGCCCCCTATTAGTTTCCCGCAGTTCTTAAAGTAGGCGCAGAAGAAGGGGTGGGCTGTGTCTCGTGCAACGAGCATTCGGGAGTAACGCTTCATGTCGTTTGGGTCGGGCTTGATGCGTGATACGATCAGGTCCACAGGGACTCGCTCGAGGCAGCAGGTGTAAGGTTCGAGTGAGTTGAACGCAACTTTCCAGCCGGCTATGTTGAAGCAATCAGTCAATCTTGAGGACTTTGAGGGATAAATTAGGGTGAGCCTACCGTTGAAACAGGTGATGCAGTAATAACAACCGCAGGGCAAGGGAGCCATTCGAAAGGCAAGGCCCTCGTCCATGCAGACAGTACAGGTCGCCTCCGCAGCGATGTTGCTGACATCCAAGTCATACCAATTTGTCCACTGCAGCTCGTCTATGAGGCTGGGCTTGACGTCCTGTGATTTTGTTGGATCAGCCACGAGCAGCATGCCACAATCGTCTAGAAGAGCGCTTCGTTCTGTAACATATTCCATGACTTCGTACATGCAGACACCTCCCGGCTCGAAAAGCTCGTGGATCGCCAAAAAGACCAGAGTGCAGATGTTGCGCTTGCGTGGAGGCAATTTGTTCCACTTGCTGACTCCCTTGAACTCTGGCGGCTCGTCGGGATAAGCCAAGGGCAACACGATATTTAGGGAGACCTCCTCCTCGAAGTCGGGGTGGAGAGGTAGCCGCAGCCTCGTTCGGATCTTGGAATTGCCATTCTCGCTGTACGTCGTTTCAATCTCCCATGTGCCGTCACCGTAGATGGAGTTGATGACTGTGAGCTCCTCCTTGATCTCATCGGATATATCAACAACCTCGAAATCCGTTGTAAAACTTGGCACGCCGATGAATTTCAACTGTCCATCCCCAGACATTGTGTTTTGTGCCGCCGCGATGGAATGAAAAATGGCAACTTTGACCTTTTGTTGGCTGGGGGCAGAATGGCAATCAGGTAATGATATGATGAATGAGCTGAGGTCAATTGGTATGTTGGAAAGCAGTGGGACAGGAACCCGATGTTCTGCCTCAATGTCCAGGTACTCCGTAGAAGTAGTTCGGATGCCGCAGTAAACCCCGAGCAGCAACTTGGTAAGTGAATTGGGTCGTGCAAACAATGTCCAATGAACTTCCAAATGATTATCATTTGCCAAGAAAATCGGTATCAGTTTGAAGTATCCTTTGAAAGTCGTGTTTAGATCGACCAAATATTTGATAAAGCTATGCAGACAATTGTTGGTGCCTGAAACGGCCATGCAGGCCTCCACGAAAGAAACAGACCTACCTAGGTACGTAGAGACGTACCAGTGCAGTATTTATCTTCTTTACTTCCGCGGCTGTGCTTGCACTGCTCCAATACAAAAGGTTTATTTGCACATTTCAGGCTGCTGTATCATTTGTAAGTACAGAACCTGGCCTCAAATCTTGCCGAGTGACTCACTGGGTCTGGAACAGATTGGGGCTTAATTCACCTCAACCAACGCAGGATTCAGCCATCTTTTAGTAGGTGCGTTGACATGTCTGCAGGCTCTACTTTGGCGTCAATTATGAAAGGTAGCACTGGCGTTGTATGTGCTTCGGCTTCGAAACTGAAATTATGGCTATAGAAAATCACATTGCCAGTCGTTGAGCAAGCGGTTCAATCCCAATGTTCTGCCCAGAGGTATTGCTTGAATTCTCCAGAATCTAGACCGTCAATAGACCAATTATTGATAAACCTTTACATTGGCCACGAAAAGGGGTATCATAGTGTCGCAAGTCCGACTCGGTTCACTTTATCTGCACACATGGATGACATGCACTCGAATCTGGAGGCGGATTAGGAGCACCTGTCCAGAATATGACTATGGTGCCTGATTTGAGTGCTATTAATACCTCTGTGTGTTGGCAGCTGAATACTCCCCAGTCTGGGGTATTCACTTGAAATAGAACATCATGCGACCGCCTAGCCACCAACAGAAGGATACTTATATCTGCATCTCTGCGGTGTCATTGGATTCTGGACATTTTCGAGTATAGATTTTTGCTTTTGAAATCAGATGTGTCAAAAGTTGAGATTACGCCAGCTTTGAATTTCTCTAATTCATGATTGAGCATATCATACTGTTACTTACAGGAGCGTATAATGAGGCGAGTGGTCTGCCGTAGCTGGTGCTGGCCGCCCAGCTATGACCGCAATACCTGGTCGCCGTGAATTAATAGCTTCAAAAGCCATCGCAAGGACTCCTAGCACCATTTATGTCTGCTACCGTACCAGTAGCTCCCTCAAACTCATACCAAGGACCGCCCGATGGGATAGAAACAGCCTCTTGGTTTTGGTCGGCATCCCGCCAACAATGCGCCTGAAACACTGTCCTCGTTCCGGCTCAGATTGGCAGAATTTTCAACCGGGAAGTCTCCACATCGAAGCTCATGCTGTCTAGGATGCTCCCTAAAGGGAGTTTAGGATGCGTGCGGCGTAGAAACGCAACCACGGAGGCGCGATTGCTTCGGCTTACTTGTTTCAAAACACTCCGAATGTTATCTTCCGTCATCTCGACATGACTGTTCTTTCTGATGGCGTGGTATAGTCCGTATTTCTTGTATCTGCAGCAAAGCTCCAAGGCTCTAGAAGCGCCGCCCGGTGTGGTCAGATTCTCAGGACCCATGTTGTCAATCAAAACCCGCACCAAGGTATCTGGGCTTGGGATGATTTCCAATACGACTGATAGCAAGCTGGGGGTGTCGTCAAGCAGTTCGACACCGTGTTCCAATAGTGCTTGAATCTTGTCTTCTCTCAAATTCCCAGAGTTGCCTGAATTTGGACTTTGACAAAGTGCGTATTGGAACGCGGACTCTCCATGACTGTCTCGCAAATTGACCTTGGCCCCCCTTTCAAGTAGAAGTCGTACCGTAATTGGATCCGAATACTTTATGGCCATCATCAGAGTAGTCATGCCCTCAGTCTCACGTAGGTGTCTTGCATGAGTCCCAGAAAGCCTCTCGTTGATGTCGATACCGTGGTCCAGAAGCATCCGTACGATCTTGCGTCGACACACGTCGTATCTTTCCCCGGCGCCAGAGGAAAAGTTCTCTTTCGTACGCAAAGCAACGTGTAGCAGAGGCAATGGCAGCAGAGGAGGTACATTTCTCCAATTCTGACGATCTCGCTTAACTCGAGCCACTTTCTCTCTATGAACCCACGGTTTTGCCCCAGAATTCAAGAGGGTGATGGCGGCCTCAAAATTGCCAACGACTATGGCACCATACAAAGGCGTCCAAAGAGGCTCATCGCCATCTGCACCATCGGGGTCCGCCCCGACATCGAGAAGTGTCTTGATAGCAGCAAAACCGCTCGGCTCCTTAGTGGCATAGTGAAGCGGAGTCTCTTTTTTGGAGTCTCTAACGTTTGGATTGAAGTCCAAGAGTGTCGATAGATAGAGAATTGTCGAGGTCAGCCCTCTCCTAGCGGCAATGTGAAGAGCTTGAATTTCCAGGCGTTTGTTTGTTTGAACAGAGGCACCGTGAGACAAAAGAATCTTGGCTATTTTTTCCTGAGAATAGCATATTGCGATGTGGAGCGGTGTCCAACCAGGTACTTGCATGAAGGTCCGATCGCATTCACAAAACCGCTTTGAACCAGGTTCGATATTGGCACCTTGTTGTAGGAGCCATACTACCACGTCATCGTGGCCGCTACCGAGGTGCAAGATTTAGTCAACACTTTCATCTGCTGTTTGTTGAAAGTGCATGTGGAAGATGAGATACGATATGGACTTACCTTCGCACAGCCAGATGGAGGAGTGTAAACTGCATCGCCGTTCCTGCGCCACAAGCACCCTTCTCAACGGAAAGCATGTCGCGAAAGTCTGAATCCCAATGATAACGACTGTTCCAGAGCTCGTCGATGAGATTTGGTCGTGAACCAGTCTGTGTTTCGTAGAGCCGAAGGAGAGTATTTAGACGACCAGTTTTGGCAGCCCAAATTGCGGCATTGGCATTTTGATGATTGATGTTGTGTTTGTAGAGATGTGGATTGAACCAGACATTGAAAATACGAGCTGTCAGAGCGAGAGCAGCGAGTTCGCGACAACCAGACTCGACAGCGATGTTTCTGACGATCTCGGGCGGAATGCGGTAGATTCCAGGCGCCATGGTGGGCAGCGTACGTTTGATTGTCATACGAAGGGATGAGACGTGTTGGAGATGTCGGCTGCTCTTGGTAACGGCACAGGGTGCTAGAGATTGGTTTTTGCGTGTAGTGAGCGATGGGAAGGTACCTGGGCCCTTGACTTTTCAAATTTAGCACGAATCGGTGCTTTCAAGTTGAGGATCTGAAAAGATCAAAAACGGAAGTGGTCCTCGAAATAGGAAGCAGGGTTACTCCCCAAGATGCTCACACACATTTGTTGCGAACCCTTTCCCATGAGAAAGCCCACCCTGTTTCGTAAAAGCTCAAAGTAGTTGAGAAAGTCGCGAGAGGCCACAAATGGAAAACACATGGAGGAATTGCACAAAGGATGTATGTTGCAAGACCGTGGACGAGAGGGGCCACGTTGACACCCAGCTTCAAAGCCAAGGAGTTGCTTGAATTTCCCACTGTGAGGGTTGACCACAACCCACTGGCGAAGGTTGTTGGTGGGAAATAGAAACACGGGCTGCAACAGCAATGGCCTTCCAGTCAAATATGGCTAGTGCACATTTGTGCAGCTAGACGAGTGCAAGATGGACACGGGCACGGTCATCAGGGAAGGTAATGTTTTCGATATGTTCATTCTCAGGCTGCAAGCAAGCCCATATGCTGATATATTACGTACATGTCTAAGCTGAAGTGTGACCTAGAAACCAACCTTGAACACCTCGGGCGCTCACACCAGGATATCGTGCCGGACGCATCGCTCCTCATCACCTCCAATCAAGCTATGCTCTCCCCTATCCAATTTATAGCATCAACAGACCAGCAACAGCCGCGACAACAAAGCCGAAAGCACCAGCAGTGTTGACGTTGGCGGCTGACTTGCCGAGGGTGCTGCTAGAGCTGGACGAGCCCGAGTTGGTAGTCGAAGTGCCGTTGGTTGGGCTGATACCAGCACCAGAGCCACCAGAAGCGTTGGTGCAGTTGCCCGTGGCGAAGTTGCCAGAGACTGCGTCCAGCTGTGCTGTGAACTGGCCAGTGAGCTGGCCGGCGATCTGCTGGATCTCGGCGGGGGTCTTCTGAACGGTGGCGTCGATGAGGCCCTTGGCGGCCGTGCCGATGTCCTTGGTCTGCTGGAAGACGACGTCGCAAAGGCTGGCCTGCTCGACTGCCGACTTCTTGGCCGAGAGATCGGTGCTGAGGCTCTGCGCGGCGGTCTGAACGGGGCCCAGAGATCCCTGCAAGCTCACTGCGTCGTTGGCTGAGATGGCGCTTGTTCCTTGAATTTGTGTAGTGCCTTGGGTCAGGACGTTCTTGAGGTTGCTGGCGTCTGTGGCGAGCTGGGTGAAGCTTTGGCCATTGAAGGCCTTGACGGTTGTGTCTAGTTGTGTGAGCGCATTTTGAGCGTTTGTGATGACAGTCTGGATCGTGGCCACGTCTCGTTTCTGTGGGAGAGTCCAGTCGTCGGCGAAAACAGAGGCCGCCAGGGCGAGGGTGGTAAATGTTGCGGTGGCCTTCATTGTTGCAGGTTGTCGTCGAGGATCAGAGAACAGAGTTGCTTAGTCGTTCCAGAAAATTGAGCGCTGCTCGTGATAATGAAGAATATGCGTATATTTGTAGTGATGATCAACATGGGGATCAAAGGAAAAGCTTTATTGAAGAGAGTTGGGGGTCAAGGCATATAAGTGCCATGGCCAAACATCCACATGCCTGCAAACCTAGGAACCGCTCAGGGACTTGCCTGAATAGGAAACCAGAGGAGAATTCACTGCTACGGTTTGGATCTGACACAAGTTTCGGGGGGCCGTGGTCTTGGCAAGGAGCAAAGCTCTATTGTTTCCGCGCTCAGTGGTATGGCCTCAAGATCTCCAAACCCCATCTGATCAGCAACTCGCATTGCCCAATTCGCTCGGTGTTTCAACAGCACCAGACTTCGGACGAGTGCAGCTTCATGACCAGAATTGGCCAGCGCACCCGTCGCCACAGCCCCTCACAGATTCGACTCATCTTTTACCGGCCAGGTATGTAAAACACAGTGGCTGTGTGAAGCAACCAGATGATGGCCATGACATGCCGGATTGGGATAGAAAAGGAGTTCGAGCAAGCTTCAGGGAGGCAAACTTGACAGGCTTGGCTCTTCGCCCGTATGTTCTCGTAGCATAGATGTAACGCGGCTACGGGCGAGGGCGACGAGAGAGCCGAGTTGCGCTTGTGGGAATTGAGGCAACTTTGGAATGATTTGTCTTTCACGCACGTGTGACATGTGTGCTACATTGAAGGTTTACTTTGGGCGAATATAGGCGCCCGACTATAACTGTGACCATGGGAAAAACTATCTGTCCGCGATTTGAATTTTACGATTGGATTGCCGACATATTTAGGTTGATTGCAAGGCGTTTACCCACCTTAAAAAGAAGTTATTTTCAACGTGACTTACATCGACATGCCTGCACGCTATCCACTGGGACGGCGACGAGGTTAGGTCCAGAATGCGTGGGGTTCCAAGGTTTGTTCCGGGAGCTAAGCAGTGACCACACAAGATGTTATTTATCAACACGGCTGCACGGTTCGGGAAGTGCCATTCCCTAGTACGCCGTATGATCGCCAAGCAGGATCTAGGTAGATCATACCGTACCTAGCTCACTCGCAGATCAAAGTGCCGCGGTAATATTTGAGTAACTAGTCTTGTTCGATGACGTCGGCTCTGGCCATCATCGCATGTTGGACTATGCCATGAACTGTCCGCAACAAGTCTTCCCCAGTCCTGTCAACCGTCGTGGGTGAAACTTTATTCTCTATAATCAGGCCAACACCCAGTGGTTTGCAATTTACCTGTAATATGGCACCGTCTGGCCTTGCGATAATCATCGGCGCCGGGCCGACCTCCGGAGCCGGCGTCGCCCGCGTGCTGGCCCACCCGGCACGGGGAAACCTCGCCGTGGCCCTCTTGGCCCGGAACGCAGACAACCTCAACAAGGTCCGCGACTCGGTCCGCCAGTCGTCAGACGGCGGGCTGCTGCACTCGTTCCCCACAGACACGCAGCCGGACAACCTCCGCCAAGCGTTCAAGGACATAGCATCCCATCCGGACTTCTCGGGGCTGAAGCTCAAGCTGGCAATCTATCACGTCAAGCACAGCAGCAAGGGGCCCTTCCTCGACAGTACTGCCGAGGACTTCGGCGCCAGCCTGCAGACCTACACGACCGGAGCATTCACATTCGCGCAGGAGGCACTAAAACTCATGTACGCCCAGCAGGGCGGACAGACCCTCCTCGCTGATACGGGCGGCGCCAAGAAGGGGACCATTATTTTCACCGGGACGCTGGGAGCGATGAGAACGAACGAGGGTTTCGCCGCTTACGGCGCAGGCCGCGCCGGCGCCAGGATGGTCGCCCAGGCCGTGGCAAAAGAGCACTCCAAATACGGCGTGCAGTGCGTGCACGCCATCGCCAACGGCGGCATTGTGGACGAAGATAGCGAGGACACCAGGAATGGGAAGAAGATGAGCGCCGAGGCCGTGGGCAAGACGTACCTGTGGCTGAGCGAGCAGGAGCCGGCGCTGTGGGTGCATGAGCTGGACTTGAGGCCTGCGCAGGAGAAATTTTAGAAATATTTCTGCCTCGGCGAGTGCCTTATGGAGTGCCTTGGGGAGTCAGAGCTGTGGTTGGCGAGACCTGAGCCTCGAGGACGATGTTAGATGCCTGTGACGCTCAATTCGAAACACTCGACGAGCCGAGCGTACCGTAATGGTCTGTGTGCTTCGCTGTCTCCAACTGCATCGCGACAGTATCAGCAATGAATGTAGCAAGCATTCGCGTGTTTGCCACTCACAGCGTGGGCTCATCGTCATGTGTCAATTTCAAATATGTGTGCCTCGGGACTCAAAATCTCTTCGAGCCCTCGAACTCGCCCCTGAGGCAGTCAGAAGCCGGATGTGAAAAGATCGGACGGCATCCTGCTCGCAAGACATCGAATGCCCAGAGTACCAATCATCGTATGATGCTAGCCTAGCTCGAAACCAGCTAATTGACGTGAGACGAGGGCGGCGCTTACAACCCCATCGGCCAGAGCGATCCGCTTCAGTGGTGCCGCTGTGTCAATTTGAATAGGATGAACTTGGTACAGTCCAGGCTTTCAAATCTTCCAGTGATTTTCTCCTTTAGGCAGATCCCAAGACAATAATACCTACTGCACTTGTGAATCGGACACTCCACTTGGAGGAAGAGGGTTTCATTTATAGCACTATCGAAAGATACTGAGATCGGGACCAGGAAAGGGATGAAATGTAAAGTTTGCCTCCCGCTACTCAACACAATTTCTCATGCGGAAAGGCCGTCATCGCATCATTGAACCCTGACTACCAGCTTGTCTGTCACTTGTGCTCGGACGAGGCGCAGAATTGGAGAAGGTAATTGACATGCTTTCATTTCAATTTGATTTGCTTTCGGAACACTCGAGACTCAGTTACAATGCCAGACTATGTGCCTCAGGTCGTGGGCTCAACGGCAACGTAATGCAAGTAAGCGCCCAGCAGCTTGATGCCCTCCACATAGTTCCTCTTGTCCAATTTCTCGTTGATCGAGTGCGCGCCATCAGTTGAGCTTCCCATGGGCAGTAACAGAACATTCTTTCCAGTGGCCTGCTCGAACGTCAAGGTGACGGGGATACTGCCACCCTCACGAGTATAGTCGGGCTTGACGCCCCACACCCTCTCCACAGCCTTTGCGGCGGCGCTGAAGTTCCAATGCTTGGGGCTCGCTACCCACCACTTGCCGGTGTGTTGAGGGTATACCTTCAGTGTGTTCTTGGACTTCAGCTTGGCAAACTGCTCGTTGACGTACTTCTCGACGCACGCGTTGGTCTTGTCGATGTCCATGTCCGGCACGGTACGGATGCTGAACTTGCCAATGACCTTGGCGGGGATAACGGTCTTCGCGCCGGGGGAGAAGAAGGCGCCTTCGATACCGTGCAGAGACAAGGATGGATAGCGCCACCGTGCCATCAGAGTAGACTTCTTGTCCTCGAAGATGGTCGTCTTGCTGCCAAGCGAGGCGTGCAGTGTCTCCATGGTGAAGCTGATGTTGTCATAGAGCGTGGCCTCCTCAGCAGTGACCGCGGCTACTTGCTCCATGATACCGGGGATCTGGATCTTGCCGTCGGTGTCGACCAGCGATGCCATGATGCGCGTCAGATCAGTCATTGGCTCCTGCGCTGTGCCGCCAAACACACCAGAGTGTAGGTCAGCACCAGGTCCTGACACCTCGATGTTGTAGTAGTTGCAACCACGCAGGCCGTATGTCAGGCAGGGCTTCTCGGTGCCGAGCCAGTAGTTGTCGCTGATGCAAACAGCATCGGCATCCTTAAAGTACTTGTCCTTCTCGGCCATAATGAAGTCATCCAGACCGTCTGAGCCATACTCCTCCATACCCTCGAAGCACATCAGCAAGTTGACAGGGAAATCAACGCCGGCCTTCTGGTGCGCCTCGATGGCGTTGATCCAGCCCAGGACAGGTCCCTTGTCATCTGTGGATCCACGACCGAGCATTCTCCCGTCCTCTGCGACCTTCAGCTCGAACGGCTCAGTGGCCCAGCCGTCTGACTTCTCGGCGGGCTGAACATCGTAGTGGCCGTACACGAGGATGGTACGCTTGTTCTTGTCGTTGCCGTAGCGGGCCACGACAACAGGTGGGAGGTCGAGGTTGTCCTTGCCGTGCTGCTTGCCAAGGGGACGCAGCTCGACCTCAGCACCGAGAGCCTTCAGCTCCTTCTCGAGGAAGTGGGCCATGCGAATAACGTCTGGTCGACGAGCATCTTCGGCAGAAATGGACGGGATGGCAACCGCAGCAGCGAGACGGTCAATGAATTTGGGGGTGAGGGCGTCGACCTGGCTGAAGAAGCCGTCGAGTTGAGGAGCACCAGCCATCTTGCGAGCTTGGTGTGCGCGGATAGCTTCGGTGAGGTAGCTTCGAGACTGTGGGAGGAGGCGGGGTCTTGATGGACGAGAACAAGCTCCAAGAATCAGGCCTGGGTCTGCTGTTCGTCTGGTCAAGGTGGACGACAGTCGAGAGAGTGCTCTTGCTGAGCCACACGATCGAGGGAGGGAGGTGCGGGGCATTTGAAATGGAAAGCTCACCAGAGGAGGATACTATCGGCGTAGCTGTTTGCTGAGGGGCGAGGTGAGCCGAGGGGTGCTTGATCGACGGCTGTAGGTCGACAGGGGTGGGGGTCCCTTGCTGCCCTGCTGACAGTCCCCGCCCAAGCAGGCCCCTTGGTAAACGTCCATCAATCTTATCTTGCTCACTTAGACCATCTACAATTACATACCCTCCTATTTGTTTTCAATTTCAGCTTCTAGCCTCTTCACGGCAACACAGCTGTGAGTGCATACTACTCCGTGCCCGTCTCGACCACCTTGACGGCGCTGCTGCCTGGAGATAGTTCAGCTTCCCTTAATGGCGCCAATATATACAAGTGTATATAAATGTGTAGAGGTCTACACGCCGAAGTCAGCGTGCTCTCTCCTCTGTTGCCTCCTTCCTTCAATCTGCTCTTACCATGGCCCCACGAAAAAATTGTCTACATAAACAGCTCACCGTGGAGGTGTCCGCTCATGCGGATGAGGCTGGCTTCCAACAAGTAGACTGGAGACAACGATACGCTGCAACAACCCCCTCTGGTCGTGCTCCGCCCAAGAGCCGAGCAACATCCAAGCCAAATGGTGATGAGGCTCCTGAGGGTCAAAATGCCAGCACACTTACTTCTATATTCCCTGCGCCGCTTGTCCTCCCAGGGGATGATCTAGCTCTAGACCCAGCCTCTCCACCTCAGAGTCTGGCCTCCTGGCTGAGAGGCAACTATCGTAACAAGTTCACGCCCGACCGGAAGACGCTATATGTCGCCGACGTGCCAGCCGTGTCTCAAGATGTCGACATGGTGAACCAATGGACGCAGAACAGCTTGGTGGGCAAGCATGCAGCAGTGAAGGGGAAAGCAGACGCTCTGGACAACCTCAAGCCGCCAAATCCAGACGACATCCGAGACTACCTCGGGGCATTTTACCACGGGATGCCGGTCAAGAGTTTCAGCCAAACGCTGGAGTTCACGGCATGGGAGACAGGGGAGAAACGCCGAACAAAGAAGGACGCCTCGTCGTCCTTCATCGGCCTGCGTTGCGGCTCTTCCTGTACTCGCATCCGGGCGAGGCCTTGCCCGGACGGCACATTTCCCTACCAACTCAACCTAAACGACATCTTGGATGCCACCATCGCAGCCCTGCCCGACGATGCTTACGCGCTGCTGTTCCTCGTCGACCACGACCTCTACGAGGATGACGACGACGACTTCTGCTGCGGCCGCGCATACGGCGGGAGCCGCGTCGCAGTAGTCTCGTCGGCGCGGTACAACCCGGCACTGCTGCTGCGCAGCGAGCTCGACAGCATCGATCTGGCCCACACATGGCCAGCATCCCACTGCCAGTCCTACGTCTCCAAGCTGTGCGGCTTGGCGCCAGGGCCGACGCGGGGCAAGAAGCGCCGCCTGGACCAAGACGAAGACAAGGCCGCGGCCTCCCCGCTCCACGACGCCGTCCGCGCATGCACCAGCGTCGCCGCGCGCAGCCTCGAGCCTGGTTCCCTCGGCGGATTGTGGCTCTGTTTGCTCGCACGCACTGCCTCCCACGAGCTGGGCCACTGCCTCGGTTTTGGCCATTGCGCCTATTATGCGTGTGTGATGCAGGGCACAGCCGGCATGGCCGAGGACTGTCGGCAGCCGCCGTACCTGTGCCTCGTGTGCCTGAAGAAACTCACGCACGCCGCGAGGGAAGCGGCAGCGTCGCCCGACTTTGACGAGACAGGGTATGTGATAGGACATTACCAGGCTCTGGCTGGGCTCTGTGAGAAGTGGAAGCAAATCGGCATGTTTGCAGGGTATAAGGCCTGGTTGGATAACATGACAGGCCGGCTGCGGGATGCTTCTCTCAAGTTGTGAACGTTCATTGTGCGCTCATCCCATTGATGCGGTTCCAGTGCATTTCCGATCGAACAACAATTCTTTTCGTGTATTCGTGTGTCTTATTGATAATTACGGTGTATGCTCTGAACTGCTCTTGTCTTCTGATAGTAGCTGGTGTGGTCTAAGCTGCATTCCTTTCAATGAAATCAGCTGTGAAGAGTGTCCAGCAGATTGAAAGAATGAAACTGCAGACTCCATATAGGCATGTCGTATGACTTTGGGAAACTTCTACAGCTCGTCGTTTGTCTTGACTTACGCAATTTGGAAGGTCACTTTGCCAACAGGACAACGGCCGGCTACCAGCGGTTGATCACTGACGCAAGTACAGAAGCAGAGCACAGGAAGTTTAATGGTCATAAATCTATTTCATAAAAATGCTTAACTGCTAACATGGGTATCACGGCACATCTCCTTGCGCCGATGTCTGTTCTAGCGTGCTCTATCGCCTCTAATCGTGCCAGCTACTCTTCCGCCCCTCATCGATACTGTAAAGAATGCGGCACTTGTATCTTAAGCACACCTTTTCTCGCCCCAGGTTCTTGAATTTGGGCCCCATGGGTCCCGTGACGTAATGGTATTGCCCAAACAACCGCCACTGTCTGTCATCACCCAGGCCGTACAGCTCGTCACCCCAAGGTCCGTCGAAGTGGAACCATGAGGTCGGCGCGTCGGGATTTGACGCCGCCGGGGTCAAGGACGTGGGCGCGATAGCTTGGCCATCGCGTTTGCGGAGGGTCGTGTTGGCGTGGGCTTCCATGACAGCAGGATCTACTGGGTAAGGAGTTGATTCGTCCAGTATCAGTTCTTTGTTTTCCGCGCCTTCGTCGTCCTCCGGAGGTGGTGGGGCCTCTGTGTGGTTGTAAAAGTAGGCGTAGTTGTTTAGCGACGGGTCCCAGAGCGGTCCGCGATCCGTCTGGTCCTTGAGCATCTTGAACGGCAGGACATACGCATGGTCGCCAGGGAAGGCATACATGGCGTGGCTGCCCACTGCCGAGTAAATTACTGGCCTCTCAATGATCTCGCTGACACCGTTGATGGTGGCATTCAGCCTCCTCTTCTCCAGTGCGGCCCACGCATAGGCCTGACCGCCCGCGTGCTCGCTCAGGAACATGGCGCGGGGCACGCCATTCTCAAAGCGTACCATGCAGTGCTCCCAGTCACCAACGTGGTTACCAAAACGCATTTCGAGCACGGTCTGGCCCAAGTTATAACTGTAGAAGAAGAACCAAAATGCATCGACGATGCCTGAGCCCTTGTCTACTACGACTAGGACAGCTGGCGCGGCCGAGTACCCGCTTGAATCGGGTTTGTGGCCAGGCGTGCTGGGAGGTGGAGGGAATGGCTTTTGTGGGTTGTCCCCCGAGAGTAACAGGCGACGACGAAGTTTGGAGAGCATATCCCTCCTCTCGTGGTCTTGAGGAGCAGATATGCGGCGGAGCGGAGTATCCTGACTGACATCCCACCATGTCGTATCCTCGTAATTCGAAAATTGGCTTTCTTTGTCGGCATCGCGACCATCGGCAGGGTCGACTCTTACTTCGTTGTCGCCGTTTTCTTGGTATGGCTTCGGCTTGCCAACATCGTTAGACAGCCACTCTGGTCGTTGCTCGACGTCATCCTGGCTTGTAAGGAACACGAATCCCGGTACACCGTTTAAGTCGTACATGTTTGCCAACGAGACGGGTTCCGTCATGTTGACAGGCTCCTCGCCGATATAGGGAGTCATATGGCGGACATGTTCAGCAATGTCCGATGGCCAAAAGTGCTCCTTGGAGTATAAATGCACAAGAGGCGCATACTTATGGACATAGTCGGGGACGTGCTTCAGCTGTCTCGCCCCTGTATGCAGTCGCTCGTCCTCGCTTGATTTGTCGCCTATATCTTCCCATCGAGTGAAGGCTGGCTTCTCATTTAGAGTCCTTCTTTTTAACTCTAATTCGACTTGATAGTCAACCCGGGGATCCCGCGGTCTGACGGGGTCGTCCCAGCGCATATGGTGTAGACCGCAGACACTTAGCCATCTGCAAGCCTGCCGGTCTATCCAATACGGCGAAGAGCTCACCCATGCCTTGTCACGCTTCTCATCTTCGGGGCTGGGTGGCGTGGGGTTGAGAGCCCTGGGTACGAAGTAGGTGACGAGGACGAGAGTAGCGAGGAAGGCGACCACGAGGACAGCGCGGCGGAGGTGATACATCACGGCGACCCCGGATTCTAGGGGATAAGCCTTTGAGGAAGTAACAGTGAATCGAACAGAAGGAAGACCGGTGTCGAGGCGGTCGCTCTTCGGAGCGGTGGTGGTTCTACTGGCGGTTCAAGGGAGGTTGGTGCGGAGGGGGACCATGGCAGTGTCTCGGACAGGCCTGGGGCTGCGGATGGCAAGTGGAGGATGCTGTCTGTTCTAGAATGGAAACAATGAAAGAAAGGATGGTGGCTAGCACATGGTGCCTATAAAAGCGTTGTACGTGGAAAAGTCGACTTGGAACAGAAGTGAAGAGTGCGCGGATTTGATGTTCTAGAAGGAAGTTGGCACAAGAAGACTACCAGGTCTACAACTGAACGAGCAATGGTCCCTGATGATCGGCTTTGGGCAGGTGGGCTGGCTGGGTGCCTAGGTAGTGACATGGGCCCTGAGTCGGAACGGGGGGTGCATCTGCAGGCTGATGCTGATGCAAGATGGGAAATGTCAGAGTGACTGACTCTCCCATGTGGCGAGTGCGGGGCAAGCGGGTACAGGAGACCTCGTCACAGGCCGGAAATAGATAAAGAAAGGCCAAGCCCCTGACAGAGAGGGAGAGAGGCCCGTCCCCCATCCCACACCCGCCCCTCCACCACCAGTCCACCGATCTATCTGGCCACACATCTGTCCACGCGGTCGGACAAGGCGACGGGAGTCGTTGCAACCATTGCATTAGGCATGTACCACATAGCCGTTTACTGACATGGTCACTTGCAACCACGTACTCAGATAGTGAACCATTGCCTTGTCAACGTGGCTCAGGACGGCTGTCCATTCGAGACATAATGATCAAGTTGTACTTCACAGGTAATCCAGGAAAACAAGTTTGGCCAACTGCCGGTATTCTAGCCTATACAAAAAACAAAAAGGGGTATCATTGACTGGTTACTTTCACCGATTTATCGCGCGATGATGCCGGGCGACAGTCCAGCCCTAATCCTCCGCCTCGGAATCCTCATCTACCTCCTCTACACCGTCTCCACCAACACCCTCCAAGTCGTCCCATGCTCCTGGCGTCCTCGTGGATGCTTCTCCAACCTCGTCTTCGCCCTCAGTCTCGGGGTCTTTCTCGCCAAACCTGACCACCTGTTCCCTGGTCGCCCATCGATTCCCACGCTTCTTCCTCGTTTTCGGCCGAGCCGCTCTTTCTTCCATCAACCTCAGCTGCCTTCTCCTGTCCCTCGCCCTCTTCTTTTGCAGCTGAGCCTCCTCAGGGTCGTCCTCCGCATCCACAAAGTACCTTGTAGTGTCCCTCGTCATGGTCGTGACCTCGTCCATTTCTCCCCTCTTCCGCTTGATGGCCATTATGTTCTCCAGAAACCTGGCCTGGGGCTTTCTGAACCCGTGCTTGTCGAATGCAACCGGTATTTCGATGCCTGATTCTTTTCGTAACTTTCTGTAGCGGTCGGGGGCCTGTCGGCGCTGGGGGGCAGCTGTGGTGGTGGGATTCTTGGGTTTGAGGTCCGCAGGCGTGGTGAGGATGCGTGCCGACGACGCGGCCATGAGGTCGACGTCACCGGAGAGACTGCGCAGGTAGGGCAATCCGCGGTCCGCGACCTCGTCATGCGCGCCAAAGATGAGCTCAGTGCCGATATTGCTGGCCCAGCTGCCCGAGAAGATGCGCCCCTTGTAGGACACGACCGGGCTGTCGGAGTGCAGGTCAAGCACTTGGATCTCCCCAACGCTCTTCAACTTCTTGCTTGCCTGGGGCTGCACCATCTCTGTTGCCTCCTCTGTTGGTTTCGGTGACATTCGCACGGCGGCCGGTTGCGATGCGCCTCTCAGTCGGGGATCGATCATATCTTTGTCGCCGTCTCCGCCATTCTCGTCCACGGTCTCATTGCCGTTCGCTTCAATTGTATTGTCCCCTCTCGTGTTGTCGTTCTCGACGTCTGCCTCCTCATCTTCTCTTGGGACGAGGTCCTCATCATCCTTGTCCTCCTCGTCCGCAAGCAAGATCGCGTTGGTCTTAGTAGGACGGAATCGCGTATTCTTGTTCGGGTCTGCGTAGACCGGATTGAACCATTGCCTATAGCCGCCTCGATTTTGTGAGTGGAATGTGTCCTTGACCTTCTCAAACATGCCCGGATGCGACAGGTCCATGGTCAGGTAGTATGTCTGTCTGCTTGTCAGTCGCTGGCCATATTCACCGTCATAAAACGTCATGGTATACCTCTGTCTCCGTGGTGGAGTACTCGAACTCCCAGTCGTCCTCATCATCAATCGGCCTCGACGACTTGGCGAGAGGAAATGAGGCAGCGCTTTCGGGGTATGTCCCCGGCCAGCCGATCGGCTGCTTAGCAGTCGGCTCAATGACTGTCCGAACCATTTGCGCGTGTTGAAAGCTCATGCGACTCCCGAGCGAACAGAAGGCGCGCTCATATGTGCAGTGTAGGAGCTCGAGGGTGCTCGGGAAGCACCAATGCGAGTCCAAGGTAAATGGACCTCGGAGCTGGCGTCCCTACAAACTTTGGCGGTCGTAGGTGGCAGAACATCCCTGGCCGCGGGGCACAGGGGTAGCCCACCCCTGTAGCTCTGGCCCCTGCAGCACTGTAGATCACCCCTCCAAAGTGACGATACCGGCTCAGATTAAGAAATTCGATATGAAAATGGGTGACTCTCACAAGTTTGAGTCACACTCTTGCATGGTCACTCTTGTTCCCTTTTGTGACGCTTTTTTTCTCATGAGGTACATGCAATCATACCAATTGCAAAAATGCCTACCGTCCACTTGTTAGACTACGTCGCCGGCAACGTGCGAAGTCTCGTAAACGCCATCGAGAAGGTTGGCTACGAGGTCGCATGGATCAAGACTCCCGAAGAGGTCAAGAATGCAGATGTACAAACCACCCCAGTCACCCCGGTAGTTATCATTAGCAAGTCCATACTGATGGATGTTCTCAGACACTCATCCTCCCTGGCGTGGGCCACTTTGGCCACTGCCTCAAACAGCTTTCCTCTGCGGGCTTCCTGCCCCCCATAAAAGCTCACATCGAAGCCGGCAAGCCATTCATGGGTATTTGCGTCGGCATGCAGGCTCTGTTCTCCGGATCTTCCGAAGACCCTGAATGCCCTGGACTAGGCGTCATCACTACTTCGCTCTCCCGCTTCGACGACAGTGACAAAGCCGTCCCGCACATTGGCTGGAATGACGCTGTAGTGGAGGGTGGCGCTTCCCTTTGTGACCTGAGGCCTGGATCCAAGTACTATTATGTCCACAGCTATCGCTGTCCGTACGAGAAAGGAGATCTGGAGGGCCAAGGATGGACAGTGGCGACGGCGACCTATGGGGGTGAGACATTTGTTGGCGCCGTGGCCAAAGGCAACATCCTCGCGACTCAGTTCCACCCTGAGAAGAGCGGCGTCGCGGGGCTGAGAGTCCTCAAGTCCTTCCTCTCCGGCGAGGGTGCAAAATCCCTCGGCCAGGCGCCCCCACAGGCTACGGCGGTGCAATTCAGCGGAGGCGCGGTGCCACAGCCGGGCCTTACAAGGCGAGTGATAGCCTGCCTCGACGTGCGCACGAACGATGCGGGCGATCTGGTTGTCACGAAGGGCGACCAGTACGACGTGCGCGAGAAGGGCGCCGACCGTGAGGTCCGCAACCTTGGAAAGCCCGTCGACATGGCCAAGAAGTACTACGAGCAAGGCGCGGACGAGGTCACATTCCTGAACATCACATCTTTCCGGGACTTGCCGCTGAAAGACCTGCCCATGCTAGAGATCCTTCGGCTCACATCCAAGACCGTGTTCGTCCCGCTGACCATCGGCGGCGGCATCAGAGACACAATCGACCCGCTCGACGGCAAGAAGGTGACCGCGCTGGACATCGCGAAGATGTACTTCAACAGCGGCGCCGATAAGGTGAGCATCGGGTCGGACGCCGTCACCGCCGCGGAGGAGTACTACGCCGCGGGCAAGAAGCTGTCAGGCACCACTGCGATCGAGCAGATCTCGGGCGCCTACGGCAACCAGGCCGTTGTCGTCTCGGTCGACCCGAAGAGGGTGTACGTGGCGTCCCCCGAGGCGGCAGGCGCCCACGCGCCCAACACCATCAAGACGAAATACCCGGGCCCAACCGGTGGCGAGGAGTACTGCTGGTACGCCTGCACCATCAAGGGCGGGCGGGAGACGCGCGACCTGGACGTCGTCCAGCTGGCGCAGGCCGTCGAGGCCATGGGCTGCGGCGAGATCCTGCTCAACTGCATCGACCGCGACGGCACCAACAGCGGCTTCGACCTCGAGCTGATCCGCCAGGTCAAGGCCGCCATCAAGATCCCCGTTATCTCCTCCTCGGGCGCAGGTAACCCGGGCCACTTTGAGGAGGTGTTTGCCGAGACGACGACGGACGCGGCGCTCGGGGCGGGCATGTTCCACCGCGGGGAGTATACGGTGAGAGATGTCAAGGACTACCTGGGCAAGAAGGGCTTGACTGCAAGAGGATTCGAAGGGGACTTGTGATGGGCTCGTTTAGATCCGTGCCTTAATTGGCCTCTCAACTGTTAACCATAAAAAGAAAAAAGGAAGCGAATTCTGAGAAAAATAGAATCAATAGAATTGCTACAGCATCTACCTAAGTTTCGTGGTTTTGCAACCCCATCACCTGTCTTTTTTGACTGAAATCTTTGACGCTTTTGCTTTTCGAATGTGATGGCTGAATAGGTTGGATGCTGTTGTACTCCCATGCTCCTGATGCTGTGCCAATAGTCCATGCTGTTGCCTGATCATGATAGATTTTCCTTCCCTTTTTCAAAACCCTCCCTTTCAGAAAGCTTTGAGAAATGCCCAGAACAATGACAAACGAATGAAACCACAAAGCCAGCCCGCACGGACAAGGAAATCATCGAGACCCGACACTCCGGAAATCATTCCAAGGAATCAAACGCAGGTTGCCGATTAACGAGAGAATATCCCCCAAGCTGCAGAGAAACATTCTGCTGGTCCATATCCTACACTTCCGTACCCATGAATACCCACTCCTTACTCGTCACATCGATAGCTCCAGCCCAGTGGTCGAGGGTCATTAACTCGAGGCCTGCCCACTGCAGGCCCTTTGTCAACGTCTTGGCCTCGTTAGTCTCGATGGACCGGTCGATGCAGATCACCAGGTGGGAGCAGCCCAGAGGCGACTCGGCCATCTCCATCAGGGCCACAAGAGCGTCCTTCAGATCGCGGCCGACAACACCGGCGTCGAAGAAGGTGAACAAGGTCCTCTCGCCGCGGGCATAGTCCTCAGCTGTGAAGGCGCGGAAACTAGCCCCGCCCTGGTAGTCCCAGATCTCCATCCACGCGGTGACCTCGATGTTGCTGTTGGCGCGGCCACCGACGCAGACCGTTTCGGATCCGTCGTACGGGGGCGTGAGCTGCTGGCGCTGGTCGGGATGGCCGTTGCTGCTGTAGGAGCCAAAATAGCCGGAGTCGACGGAGGCAGCGCTGCTCCCGGCGAGGGAAGCGGCGGATGAGCGCCGGTGGATGGCTGTTTGGTCGTGTTGTTGATAAACACCCGTCAGGCCGGAGACCGCTGAGCGACCGTTCCTCTCACCGAAGAAAGTGGTCGCCATGGTCTCACAAAAGAATCTCTCACATTCTTCCCTGATACGAAGTGTTGCCCCCCCTCGTCGACGACGAGACTCGCTGTTGGATGCCGTGGACTGACGCTTGGCCGGCTTGGGCGTCAGGGCGAGCTCGTTAGACGAGGTGATTGCGGCGAGGGGGGGACTTGACGGCGGGGAGGGTAATCCTGAGATAGGGACCTCAGGAATACCACTCGGCCCCTGCAGCCAGGGTAGTGCAGTAGTGGAGGCCCTTGAGCGAGCCGGCGGCGTCGACGACGTAGCAGCTGGCGAGAACGTTGGCCTGGCGGGCCGTGTCCTCGCCGTAATTACTACTCGACTGATTGGAATTTAACGTTTTCATGGGCGCCATTGCGATTTGCCACCGTGGGAGATTTCGCTGGGGGATAGGGTGATTGTTGGTTGATGAAGTTGGGAGATGGGACGACGGCAGGGTCGACGTTTGTGGTTGGTCGTTTTGATTGATGGATTGATCGAGCCAAGTGGAGCTGCAGAAGGTGATGTTGGTCTGGGAATGTCGTTGACTGCTTTTGCGCGAACAGGTGGAGACAATTGAGGGAAGGGCTGATGGTCCTTTAGGGTGACGGATTGGTTGGTGGGTTGATGAGGCTGAATCGGTCGAGGGCGAGAGAGACGGAGAGGTCGGGGTTGATAAAGAGAGAACGGGAGTGGTTGTGGATTGGGGAGAAAGGGCAAGAAACGGCAAAAGTGGAGTGGGGTCTTGGCTAGCGTCAGGCTGGCGTGTGGAAATTTCGAGTCATTCTGATCAACCTGTTGTGTATGGCGTATGCGTGGCTTTGTTCCTACTGTAGCAGTGCCTCTACGGTGCTCCAAGAGCCCCCAAGAAGCCCCCAAGAACCCCAAGTGCCCAAGTAGTCTACTGTGCACACAGCAAGGCCGCGCACGTCGGGCCCGCTAAATTTACGGATGGACAGGAGAAGGTGGCCTGGCTGAGCCTGGCAGTGTCTGATTGACTTTCACGTGGCCTTGCTCGTGTCGAATTGATTGGCCTGCTACTGGGAGGATCCCCTACATCGTCGACGTTGCAGTTTCGAGTTGACTCTGCAAGCATGCATTGACAATACAATTGCCAATAATCAATCAATCTACTGTGTATACGTGTCTGTCTGTCTGTGTACTGTGCTGTACTGTACCTGGTCTAAGTCCAAGCTACCAAAGCCATCTCTACCACACTGCAGTGAATACTAACCAGTTTAGTAGAATTCAACGGCCAACCTCTTGTTCTTCGAGTTCACCACAATCGTGCCCGATCCGCCAGTAATGTACGCCTTCTTCTGCCCGACTACCTTGTTCTCGTAGTCAATCGCAGCCTGGTTCGGGCCTCCCATCCAGTTACCCATCGTACTCGCAAGGCACTCCTTGCCGTCGGACCTCTTCTGCCTCGCCGCCTTGGGCGCCCCAGGGAGGATGTCGTTGGTGAAGCCGATCGAGTTGTTGGTCCCATCCGTCGACCTGATCATAGCGGGACCGTCGTAGCCCTGTTGGAGGCTAATGTCTCCCCATGCCTTGTGGTCATTGCTCGCAGACAGCTGGAACTCGACCCACGTCGCCGGGATCAGCTTGCCGCGCTGGACCCGGCCTTTGAAAGACTCCGGGAGCTCCACGAAGGTCGACTGGCCCGGCTTCAGTTTCGTCGGTTTCTCCGGGTGGTCAAAGTTGGCTCCCGCCGTTCCGTTGCCGTTCCAGTAGTTGTTGAAGAACTGGAACGTCTCTTCCTTGTTGCTCTTGTTAGTCAGCTGGATGCCAGGCTTGGCCGGAGCCGCCACTGCCCTTGACACTATGTTCAGATTCATCAGCGGGAGTGCTTCTGCGGCCACAGGCTCGGCCGCTGCAGGTTTAGTTGCAGCAGGCTCAGTTGCAGCAGGCTCAGTTGCAGCAGGCTCGCTTGCAGCAGGCTCAGTTGCGACAGGCTCGGCTGTGACAGACTCAGCTGCGACGGATTCAGTAGCAACCTCCTCGGACTCTGGCACAGCATTTGTTGCTACACTTGCCGTCGCTACGGCGGCCTGGCTCTGGGGTCTGGCTTGTCTCAGTAAACATAGGACTATTATTGATGCTTCCACGAAACACAAAAAATACAACTCGCAGGGACTACCTACTTAGCACAGTAAATCTTGCCCACAGATGTCAGGTTCCCGTTGTTGGCCAGCTTGTCCACAACCGCAACACCACCCATGCTTCCGTTGTTCGTCGCGGCCCCAAACCAAGCATACTTCTCGACGAAATCCTTGCCATCGAGGTACTTCAGCGCCTCTCGCTCAAAGTTCTCGACCTCCTGCAAGCTCGGCACCTTGCCACCAAACGTCGTGCAGGCGAACTCATTCAGCCAGATGGGCTTGTTGAAAGTCTTGTGCATATCCTCGATGAATTGCTTCAGGTTGTTGACGTCCAGCCCGTACCAGTGGACCACGATGAAGTCGATCTGCGCGTCTCCACCGAGCTGCTTCAGGAAGTCCTGCAGCCACTTCTTGCCTGCGGGCGAGTTGGTCATTGCTGGGGAACCCAGCTTGAAGCCATACTTCTTCTTCGCGGGCAGGACGTGCTGCCTCCACAGCTGCACGGCCTGAGACACGGACATGTTTGCTTGCCCGGGGTGGTCCGGCTCGTTGAACCCGATGAAGTGGCTGATCTTTCCAAGGCTACCCAAGAACTGAAAGAGCAAGACTTAGTACTCATGCGGGTAAGCGAGGGGTTTTAGGGGCATCTCGGAGACATACCTGGTCAATCTTGCCAGCTTCGGCTGCCGTACGAACTTGGGGGACGTAAGTCAGCCCGGCTGGAAAACCTTTGGGCTTCCACATCTCCCAGTTGAAGAGCCATGTGATCGTATGGTCCTTGATAGCCCCATCATAGGGCTTGAACGCGCCGGCTTCGTTATCGTAAGGCCAGCCGAGACCACGCTTGGAGGGTGCCATTTTGTCTGAAGATAATAAAGTGAGTTGGAAAGACTATTTAAGTTGATGTGAAAAGTTCAAGAAGGTTGAGGATTGTTGATTCTTGGTGTAGATGTCTGGGTATTCATCTCGGGTCATTCGACAGCATGTATCGGTCTTTTATATCAAGACCTTTTGCCCCCAGACGTCTGTGTTTCACAGGTCTGCGCACTCCTCCAAAGACATCAGCATGGCAGAGCAACTCATGTGATATTCTTTGGGGTCGAGGTGGCTGGCTTACAACCCAAGTGGCGTGAACCACTCGGACCGCCTCTTCTAAGATCAACAAGGCGCATATTCAGAATCCCTCGCTTGCAGCGAGACTCGGACGAGCCGCGTTGATCATGAGATACCATCGTGGTTGATTTTTTCGTGGCCACTCCATTTGGTTTTCGAGCTGCGACTGGTCAGCTGGCGCAGCGTGGCAAGGCTGGTGTATAGGGCTCAGGCTGATGTAAGCTATGAAGCTGGAGATATGGCTGACGTTGAGCCGATCGCTGAGAACCGAATAAGCAGGCTGGCGTCGGAAACAGCATTTTCCTGTTCCCGTGGTTCTGCGGCCATCTAAGCCGCCTTTGACCTACTATTGCATTCTCCCAATCAGGACAGGGGCTTATAGTACCGCGCAGCAAACTAGTCACCGATCGATTCACTCCCGTTTAGTGAGATGAAATGTCCGAATATGCAAAACGTGATATTCCTGCCGCCCCCGCCTACGCCCCCAAGGATTGATACCGTGACTGCACTCCTTGCTCGTGATACCTCAGCAGGCTCTCGCAACTTCTAACGCCATCAGCTTACACTAGAGCTGCGAGAAAGGCGACGTGGCAAGGCAGATATACCGCTATGTATGTAGTTGGCTTGCAAAGAATGCAATATAAAAGAGACAATCTCCCAGAAGTCTCGAGAAAGTACAGATATGCTACGAATCAATTCATTAGTTTCAAGAACTCTTCATCATTTGCCTATAAATTTCATATCAACATTTCCATATCATCTCACACACATTACTTAAATCTCATTTAGTATCGACAGCCTATCATGCCTACTATCACTGTGAAGAACAACTCTTCCCACTCGCAGACCTTCCTTGTCCATGGATTCCCTGGAAACCCTGGCAGTATAACCGTGAAGGGAAACGGGGGCACTGCGACTGTCAAGAGCGCAGACCGTCAACAAGTCTCGGGGGCCATCATTGCCACGCATGACGGTCACGAGGGCGAGCAGGCCGAGATTACCTTTAACGGCTGGCCAGAGGGCAAGAATCAGTACTACGACATCAGCTACATCGTCGGCGGCGGCGGCAACCTGACGATCGAGCAGGCCGGGGCGCCGAACACGCGCAAGGGCGATGCAACATTCATGCAGGACTGCAACGCGGCGTGGCAGAAGCTGTCCGCTGACAAAAAGAAGACGCTGCAGCGGTTCGTGCACCTCGACGGCAAGGGCAAAGTTTCGCGCATCGACGCGCCCAAGAACGACAAGAACCTCGAAGACTGGGTGAGGACCTTTGCGCACGGAGTCTACGTCGGGGTCGGCGCTTGGAAGGACGACAAGGGCAACGAAGAGGACAATAAGCAAAGCAGCGCCACTGCGGGTGGAAACAAGGATTTGCTGGTTGTGTTTACCGATAACAATGACAATTAAAGTCGGTGCTGGGGAAAGATGCTGGGGAATTGTCACTTCCTATATATATACACTCGGTTCAAGCAATAGATGATTATCTAGAATGTTTTCTCTCTGGCGAATGACTTCGGTCAATGTGATTACGGGCCGGTCCCACCCGTACCTACTGTCTTTGTGAGGCTCGGATGGATGCACATGAGCTTGAACCCTGCGTCGAACTAAAGGTGTACTCATTAACATGCTGCGATGTCTTTGCAAATTATTCAAAATGCAAAATTTGTATTTCCTTGCGCAGCAAGGTCAACTACTTAAAGCGTCCGCAATGGGGAGGACTGCTCAAAAACTCAGATCCCATGCCAAACCGTCCAAAATCCCCAGTCCAAAATTATCCGTCATGATCTCCGCATCTCAAAGATAGCAAGCTCCGAGTGATCGCCCTGCCATTAGGCAAAGCTAGCGCCAAGGCCTGCCAGATTGACCATAAAGTTGTTGGTTGTAGGCAGTCGGGAAACCTCCAGAGGCCGCGCTTCATGAGCCTCCCCAACCGCCTCCGTACTGTCCCTGGCCACTTCCGTAGCCTTGCCCGTAGCCTTGCCCGTAGCCCGGCTGGTACCCTGGCTGGTACCCTGGCTGGTAGCCCGCAGGAAAACTGCTTGATGATCCTCCCTGGCTACCTCCGCCACCTCCGCTGCCTCCACCACCTCCACCACCTCCAGGATGGCTGTGCGATGAGCCTGTCTGGCCAGAGGAAGTTGGAGCATGGTACGGGAAACTATCCCCAGTTTGCCTGCGGTGCCTGGGGATTGGGAAGTATCCTATTTGAACAGGTGACTCTCGCGCGATAACATACCTCTTCCCATTCTGGCTTGCCTCAGAGAAATAGTATGATAGGACCATGAAGACATTGTTACGGAAGAAACTATCCGCGTCCATGGGAGTGCACGGTCCGTTACCATTTCTGATCGCTAGGTGTCCAGACCCGCTTGAGGGCCTCAAACGTCCTGTTATGCGGTATTCAGCTTTGAGGCTGAGCAGAACTTGGGTGCTTCATTTACAAGAGGCATTGTTAGCCAGATGCTTGGAATGGAAGAGATGGCTGCTTCCTCCGAATGCCGCGGTGGCGGGCCATGGAATGGTCAATGAAGGGGCCTGAGTAAACCCACACGTAGTCTCGGCAACCGACAAACAACTCGTCATCACATGTCGCCCTCGTTGTTAAAAATCCAAAGCTGAGCAATAGTTCTTGGGAGAGGATCTGGATGAGCCCTCCCAGTGTCGTTCCACCATAAACGCTTGCGAAATTCACTTCCAGCTCAATACTGTATTTCAAGTATCGAGTTGGTCCCGCATAAGGTGTCAATTTTAGTTGTACTGCTGACGATGTGTACTTCTGGCCGGTAATTCGATCCTTGATTTGGTCCATTTCATTCTTTCGAACCTCGAGCTTGACACCGAGCCAGCGGTGATGGCTGGAAGGTCTCAAATCAAATTTCAAGAACGCATGGTTCGTCGCCGAAAAATCGTCAGCCACGTTGTCTTGACCAAAACAGAGCCACACCCGTGCAAGCTTGAAGTCTTTATGATCGAGTCCCCGAATTAGGTTGGAGATCTCATATTGGGAGAGCTGGTTGAGAAAGTAAACTCCGTTTCCAATCTGGTCCCAACCCCCTGAGGGTGCGACACCAGAGCCTCGTCCACGAGAAGGCATATTGTATTTGCCGGTTCTCGATGTCGTCCTTTTTGGATGGCTACCAGGATGTTTTGCCGGTTTGTGTTTAAGTGATTCTCGGACTCAAGCAAGGCAATGGTCGGAAGAAAATGTAAATTGTGTGTGAATGAGATAAGGTGTTGCTTCTGTCTTTGTTTTTGTTTGTTGATGACAATAGAGCACCCAAATTTGCCTTTGTGGTTCTCCAGTTTTGTTCTTGTTATTCAGTCGTGACCTTGAGTGCAACTTCCTGATCTCTTTCAAATCCTAGAGGCAACAGGTTTATATATTGGACAAATAGAAACCGAGTCACTCTGTTGGTATGGTCTGGACCGTATCTGATAATTGTAGTATGACTTGGATCTTTGAATCAGGGCCTGACAAAACAACTCAGGTGATCAATAATTGCTCTGACTTACAGTGGGCTCTCGCTCTCAACACAAACAATAAGTTAAACACAGGACCTGTGACCGAGCGCCAGAAGAAGCAAGGTAGATTTGTTTGTACATGCGGTAGTTAGTTCATTCAAGGTAGTAAAATACATGACCCATTGATTCATACTTTGTTGAATTTGGAAAGCCATACAATATCTTACCCATCACGTCCCCCATCAGGAACTGTTACACCTCAGTTGCTCCTAAAGTGATACAAAAGCAACTACCAACTCTTGACTCCCGAAAACTTTGAAAGATTCTGTTCATTTCGTTATGGACCGTGAACTAATCAGTCTGTTGATTGGGTAATCCTCGTTTCAACATGAACAGAATGGGTCACAGGTATCTGTAAATGTTAAGCTGTAGAATTACCACTTAGAATGATAGATCACCAAATATATTCTTCCTTTCACAGGCCAAACTATCAAAGAACATTTGGATCCAATCATGGAAGTCACCATACCTGGGTACACCACACGAATATACTACCTGACACAGACAAGTTCTATACTAAGATTTATCTGGCATTCCTCAATTCAAACCTACCTAAAAAAAAAAAACTAAAAAAAAACGCCATGTCTAGGCAGCATCAGTAAGTGAAATCTCCAGTCGTTCCGCTCAACCGGAGCATTCTGCGAGTTGAAAGCTTCCGAATGTTCAAAGTCACTGGGCCTCGCCTGCGCCTGTCCGATTGATCATGCAAGACTGTCCTTTTCTATGTCCGTTTGAAGGCTGTTTGCTTTCTTGCAGTCGAGTTGTCATTCATACGAGGCTACAATTCGCAGAAATTTACGTCTTGTTATCAATTAGAGGTCATGATAGTGCCGCCATCAACACTGAAGCCTGCTACAGCAGTGAAACCACACCCACGAATGACAACCCCGCGTATCCCGCCGTGGCTGCTGACTCTTACCGTGCTAATTAAGTGAGTCTAGACACAGCGGCTTCTCCATGGTATCTATAGAAGTCCAAGTATGGTGCTCTTGTCGCAGATTCCATCGTCAGCATAGCACTTTAGCCCCTCATTGTCATACCGAAGTAGCGAAGATGAGTTCTTTCTCAAGTCGCGTCATAGGCATCTGCAATTACTGTCAGAAGATCCCATTCGATACCCTCCGATGTCCCACTTACTCGGAGTTCGAGGCGCTTCGAAGCCATGATACTGAAGCCGGGAAAAAATGGTTTGGACAAGCAGGAAAATACAGAGACCACCGCCAATTAGCCACTGACCTTGGGCTTTTGAGTGATATCAAACTCAGGAGAGAGCAATGTAACATGTGCAAATTAATTTGGAAGGTCCTCCAACGGCGCGGTCCTTACAAAGATGGTGGCCCAAAAGAAGACGAGATCAAGTGCAACGCAACAAACACATACTATGGGGTGTTCTATCCACCTGGCGGAAACAGGAATGACGGCAATATCATTCTCAGACTCAGTATCTTCACAGCCAAGCTCCACACAGCCCTGGACTGGGACGGCCATCATGAACAGTACTGTTTCCAGGCCTGCACTCCGGGTACTACGTTTGGAGATCCGCCATCCGATCCTTTGAGCGCACCGCCTGGATTAGAACCGACGATCTTTGGTGGGCGCAAACGCCCGTTGACCGTTAACTGCGACTGGCTCCGCACTTGGATGCGGATTTGTGCCGAGCAACACGGTGATACTTGCAGCTACAGTTTGAGAAGTGGTCAAGAGGATACCAGTCAAGGTGACCTGCTGGACTCTAGGACGACTTTGATCCGCTTCATAGACACCCAAAAAGGAACGATCATCACCCTCAAAAATATAGTGATTGAGTCGCTGGAGTACGCCGCCTTAAGTTATGTCTGGGGGAAAACAAAAACTTATATTCTCACGGCGGAGACTGCCACTGAGCTTGAAGAGTCTGAGGGTATCGTCGAAGATAAAGCCTCAAAGACAATTGTCGATGCAATAGAGCTATGCCGGACGCTCGGCGTACGATACCTATGGGTGGATGCACTCTGCATCCTACAGGATGACCCAGTTGACAAGGCTATTCAGCTTCAAGCCATGAGTCACATCTATCGGTGTGCATCATTCACTATTGTGGCAGCTTCTGGCGATAATGCTGATGCGGGACTGCCTGGGCTGCGCCCGGGGACCCGTTCTTTCGAGCAGGAGGAAGTACTTGTTGCCCCAGCTACAGACTCTGAACCAGCATTGTCTCTCATGACGACGGCTAACCCGAAGCTCAAAGCCAGTGTTATTATCTGGAGGAAACAACGTGGAATACACGCGGTTGGACTTTTCAGGAACGATACCTTTCTAATCGGTGTCTGATCTTTACCCAGGAGCAGGTATATTTCTCTTGCAACCAGGTCGTCTTCTGCGAAGAATCATATAATGAATATGGGCCGCCGTATCTGTATCCGTTCGAGCCAAGTGGCTCCGAGCTCTCACTCAGGGTAGCGCGGCAGCATGCAGAGCCAGATGACGCCAGTGAGAGATTCTGGATACGATACCGTGCCGCCGTGGAGAGATTCACACGTCGAGAGCTTGGATATAAAGGAGACGTATATGATGCCTTTGCAGGCCTACAGAGAGCACTATCCGATATGTCTGGAGAAAAATTCGTATGGGGCCTCCCTTGCAGCAGACTTAGTGCTGCGCTGGCTTGGGACACTTTCAGTGGACAGAGAAGACGAGGTGATCTGAGCACATTGCCGATGACTGAACTCAATGAACGGGTCGGTTTCCCTTCCTGGTCCTGGATGGGCTGGATCGGGGAGGCGCACGTCTCGGTGACGGACGAGCGGTTGGAGCTAGGGTATGTTGTCGACGCACGGTAGCTTGGAAGTGTGAACAAGTTGCTTACAATCAATTAGGGAGACACCATTAATCGGTGTCTTTTGTCACGCAAAAAATGCCGGCCGTGTGGTCATCGAGCGAATAGCCCATCAGCAAACAGTGTCTAACGAAGTCGTCGTCCGTCTTGATGACATTCACAAGGCGATGCCGGGTTTGACAGAGACTAGACTGCTCGACGTGCCAAGCAACCATGTCCTCTTCTTCTGGGCCGACAGTGCAACGTTCAAGGTCGAAACAGAGCCGCAGCAAAAGCTACACATTCCTGGCAAGTCTTGCAAGGTAGTAGATGTTAACAACAAGTGCGTCGGCAATACTAGGCCCATGCAAGCCGAACATTACCACCAAACCGGATGTGATAGTGGTGAGTGGGAATTCATCGCCATCAGTAGGCGACAGCTGTTGGACTTTGAGGCCTTCATAACTGTCATCCAGATTGACAGACAGCATGACATAGCATGCCGTTTGAATATTGGCGAGGTCTCCGAGTCGGCGTGGAATGAAGCGGGCCCAGAACGTGTGCTTCTAGCGCTGGGTTAAAGCTTGTTAGAAGTCAGTCTCTCTTCTGGCGGAGCTGCGTGGGCTGGCCCTTTTCAGCTGTGAGACCTGAGATGGCATATGCAGTTTTCTGGGCTGGGCGCCCAGCTGTGGTGTGTCTTGTGCTGTGGCGTCTCATATCACATTACTTCAGTCGCCTGGTCTGGTCAGCATGGCGCCATCCTGCCCGTCATAGTCAGTGATCACATGGGCACGGCGGCCGTTATCAGCTTGCCGCGATAAGCGAGGGGTGGCGAGTGGGACTGGGTGACTCCAAGGTCTTGTTCATGGCTGTTGGGTGAAGAATGGGGGAGAAGCTGGGCATTCCAAATCAACCAGTGGTTCTCTGTTGCATTCAATAGCCTCTGTGTTTGTGTCGTGCTGTGATAGGCTTTTTCTGAAGGGCGTCCCGGCACGCATGCAGGCATGTCACGCCAAAGTGCAGGGCGAGATTAAGTGTAGTGGGCTGGTGCAGGGAGTCACGGTGTTAGTGGGGCTCTGCTAAGCTTTTCGGTAGTGGTTGCATCCAGCCCCTCATTGTGCGCCCGGTCTGTGACTTCATCACCACCCGCGCTCCGTCGCTCCGTCGAGGACGAACTTGTCCGATGATCAACCAGCCTTGCCTTTTGCACTGACTTCCGACCTCGCCGATGTGGTGTGCCATCTGCAAACCTGGGCTGTTCGGGTCCCTCCCATACTCTTCCTGAAACTGTCTCTGTCCTCCGTCTGCCTTCTGCCCTCTGCCCTCTGCTCTCTGCCATGATCAACGCAGTCGTCGACTCTTCTCTTCGACTCCAGCCCGACCCAGTGTCCTACATTCTGTGTCGAATCTCCTCCTTTCGGCTCTAGAATAGGCACATTCTCGGAAGAAACGGCCGTCACCGCCCAGATTACCCTCGGTGCACCTGCTTAGACCATTCACTATACAAACCATATCGTATCACAGTAATCAGTCCACTTCGAGCAAGGGACGAAGACCCCCACAATGAACGTGTTTCGCAGCAGCCAGAGTACCAAGGCCGATACCGCCCCTCTATTTGCAACCTACCTCCTCCCAAGCCTCAAAATACCCTTCTTCCGGCGGCGTCAGAGCTCAGCTACCACCACGTCTACCGCGGCCAGTAATGATATCCCCTCACTGAGCAGCTCGCCCTTTTCCGCCGCCTCCCTCGACGATGACCTCCCGTACTCCCCTACCACAAGCATCCCAGGCGTCGAGACCCACACCTTCCATTTAGACGACGACAAACCATCGTCCCAAGCTCCCCAGCAACAGTCCCGAACCCGTCGCAACTCGGACCGTCCCCGCCTGTCCCGGCCCCTACCCGACGTCCTCCGCTGCAGCACCTGCGGCACAGACGTCGCCTACGGGCTACAGGTCGTCTCCAAGGGCTTCACGGGCCGGCACGGGCGCGCCCTGCTCGTCTCGCCTCCGCTGGCCTCCGCAACCCCGTCCTGCCCCGGCCCACCTTTCGGCGCGGGCTCCCCGGCGAGTGGCACGGCGCCGGCGCCGCCCAACTCCAACTCGTACAGCTCGCTCGCGCGCGACGGCACGAACCTCGTCAACGTCACCGTCGGCACCCCCGAGAAGCGCAGCCTCGTCACCGGCATGCACGTCGTGGCCGACATCACCTGCTCGACCTGCGGCGTCAAGATCGGCTGGAAGTACGTCGACGCCCGGGAGCAGGCGCAGAAGTACAAGGTCGGCAAGTTCATACTCGAGACCGAGCGGGTCGCCCTGCACCGGAGCTGGGAGGACGCCGCGCCTGGCTCAGGGGGCGAGGATGGGCCGCCGAGGGGCCATTTCTACTCCTCTTCCGCGCCCGCAGAAGGGTTGGGTGGCGGGAGGAGGGCGTTCGGGCTCGGTGCGCGGCGCAAGGTGAGTTGTAGCTCGGAGGAGACTGGTGTTGCGGATGGCGGCCTTGACGAGGAGGAAGACGAGGACGGCAGTGTGGCGCAGAGCGACGGCGAGGTCATGTTTGACTCGGAGGATGAGGACGAGTGCGAGGACATCTTCGCTGGCATCTGGGATGCCGCCACGGTTGCACGGCGCCGGGGGTCCAGGGTTTATGCGAACGCTGGGAAGAGGGGTGGAGGCCGTCGCTAGTTGGCGACGACGGCTCGACACGTCGACATGTGCACATTTTGTCGTCTTTTTGCTCTACTACGTGCTTTCGGAAGAGCATGGTGCGGTACTTTCCCGACGCCGAAAGCTCGTGCACTACTAATTTTAGAGGTGGCTTTGGTGGGATACCAGGAGGCGTTTGGGCTTTGACTTGCATACCATGATACCAGCATAATACCACAGGGAGACATATTGCATGAGCCCCAATAATCAGACTGTTTTTGTTTCTTGAGTTCCTGGCCTTGATCTTGTCTGAAAGTGTGCATATCATCCAGCATTTGAGACTGCTGAGGAGTTGAATATAATAGACACGTTTACTTTGAATCTCTAAGAACACTTTGTAAAACCATCGTTAATTTCCCTCGAGCTATATCGGGGGCCCCTCCAAATCCGGACGATGCGGCTCAGACATTCTACCCCAGATACACTGCAAAAGGACCTTTTTCTGGGAAGGCTCTTGCTCGCGATTTGTATTCGCCCTCGTATGTTACCTGAAAATTCAGTGACAAGCTGATATGAAGGCTTCCCTTATTGTTTCCGAAAGAGTGACACTATTTGTATGGTAAAATATTGTAAACATCAGGCATGAGAATCACGATTATTCAATCTGAATTGATCAGTATATAAAGTAATGTATGAATCACCGATTTTGCACATTATTATTAGCATTAATCAGGTCTGTTCCCTCTGAATTTATTCGACGTCTCTTTGTTTGCATCCTATTTCAGTTTCACAGAATATTTTCGTCGACTTCAAAAAACCATTGAATGTGTTGCTTGACATCTGACTGACGATTCTTTCAGTTCGAAGCAATCAGAATTCAATACATTGCAAATCATGATTCATGATGCATACTGGCATAGAGGCCAACTATTAAGTTCCAGCGCAGTTTGTGTAAATATTGACAGACTGGGTCAATTGTCCTCAAGTCAAATAGTACCATATACAGACACTAAGTGTTCCGTGATGAAGTATTAAGTATCCGACACATTAGTGGTGGTATATTTACATGGGCATTTCGCTGTTGGCGCTGGCGCTGTTTGCCTAGAACACAAGCTCAATATGTTCTTGGATCCTAGTCCAAGTCCTCGGCGTGTTCACTCTCGAATGCCTTGTCCTTCCTATCAGTAGAAGGCCGCTTGGTGTTTTCTTCGGTAGACAAACTATGCCTGTCACCTTCATAACCACTGTCCAACAGCAACATTAGCTTCAGATCAGCAACGGGAAAAATTGTCAGACGTACAAGAGATAATCCATTTGGTCGATAGAGACACCCTTGGTCTCTGGCAGGCAGAAAAAGGCCCAGACCACTGCGATCAACAACCAAGTGCCAAAGAAGAACCAAGTACCGTAGCCCATGGATGTAAAGATATAGGGCAACGACTTCGTGATGATGAATTGCGTAAGCCTGATTGAAACATTGTCAGATCCTTTCTTGACCGTAAGGCGTCATATCAGATTGCTCACCAGTTGCAACAAGCAGTCCAAGTCCCAGTGATAGTACGCAGAGCGCCAGGGAATATCTCGGCAGACACAATCCAGGGAATTCCGTTAAGGCCAAAAGACCAACTGTACATCTAGCTGTTAGCTCCCGATGCTCGTGATACTCTCCTGGAATATGGGATCTGTGCTGCTTACAATACAGAGTATATCATGATAAGCGCCGTTGCGGCTTTGCCACCAGCCGCTGTCGATGTGGACAAATCTTTACCAGCCTTGATGACATCTGCTGGATGGCCAATTTTTACGTATGCGCCGATATAGAAAAGGCACAGGGCACAGCCGAGCGACGACAGAATTGTAGGGTAGCGACGTCCCCACATATCAATCAAGAAGATGTAGAAGATAAGAGATGCAATGGCTAGGAGCACCTATCAGTATGCTGGGCTGAATGTCAAGTTGGAGGGAGGTGTGAGATTCAAACCTTTTACCAAGCCATATATACCGGTATACAGCGTGACGTCTGTGATCCCCAGCGAGCCAAACAAAGTTGGAGAATAGTAGTTGATGGCTCCAGCACCGCCCATGTTCTGGAGAGCGAAGGCGCAAAAGATGAGCCACACGCGGTTTCTCATCCCCTTTTGGGACAGTTCACTCATCGCTCCACGGAAGAATGCCCATGCACCGGTACCGTATTGTTTAGAGACGGCGGCCTCTTCAGCAAGCCTATCTCGCATCATTTGCACCTCCTCTTGCATATCTATATTTGGTCAGTGAACATCGCTCTCCGCCGCAGGTAATGATTACACATACACTGGTGCTCTGGAGGGATCTGGCGGAGATACTGCAGGTTCTTGAAGACCTGCTCCTCCTTGTCCTTGCGCATGAGCCACAAGGGGCTCTCATGGATGAAGAAGCCGCCGAAGAGTAAGAGCCCGGCTGGGATCAGCTGGACAGCCATGGGGATCCGCCAGCTTGCCGCGCTGGACGAGTCCATGTTCTTTGTAATCCCGTAGTTGATCCAGAACCCTAGGACAGACCCGATTTGGTAGACAATCTCGAATAGACCGGTAAGAATACCTCGGATGGATGGAACGGATAATTCGGCTATGTAACTAGGCACCGTTGCTGTGATGATACCGCATCCAAGCCCGGTAAGAACACGACCAGCATCTACGCCTCATTAGTATCCGGCGAAATATTGAAACATGAAGCACGAGACAAGAGTAACGGTCAGGAGAGGAGGGACTCTCGAATAGGCATAGCCTCAGTGGGAAAGGATTTGACGGTGAAGTCGCTCATGCGACAATATAAAAAGAGTGCACGACTCACAAATATATGAAAGTTGGTTCGTGGCTGCAGTCATTAAGACCGCACCGACGACAAAGATTACGGAGCTGACTTCCAGAGCCCATTTTCTGCCGACGCGTTCCGTTATCAAGAAGCAGAAAATGGCACCAAAGAAGGCTCCGGCCTGGAATGCCGAGGTGATGTTGCTTGAAATGCTGTTCGCCACGCCATCTGTGATCTGAAAGTCTCTCTTGAAGCTGTCTCTCGCAATCGTCGTTCCGATGAAGGCCGAATCGTAGCCAAACCTGCCGTGTTTGAGTGTGAGAAAGTGATAGTAGAAGGGGAGACTGCGTTGTGGACGACATACAGCAACGAACCGAACGATATCACCGCCGCTTCGAGATACAGCCTCCAGTTGTACACCTCTTTGGGCGTGGGCCGATCCTCGACTGCGCGGAAGCCTCCCATGATTATCGTGGAGATGGGACTCTGTGCTTGGGGACTTTCTCTGGAGCTTCGTTCCCGTACGACGACCAGGGTATAGAAAGTGTGAGCGACAGAAGACGGAGGACGCAAACCCTTTAGTATTATCAGCTGCGAGGGCCCCACGCTCGGGTCCAGTCCCGAGAGACTGGAAGACGGGGGTCAAGTTCAGGAACGGAACCCGTTACGAAGCCTTTGCGAATTCTCAGTCGAGGCGCAACCCTTGAATGCAGGGTACAGTTGGGTATGCCAAGTCAATCTCCGTACCCATTCATGGTCCGACATCCATGCAAGAGACTCCAATTCATGCCCGCCGCATACTAGCAGCTGGCTGTCAACCCGACTCCCTGGCTAACGGCGCCCTGGCAGCCTGGAGGATGAAGCTTATGCCAAAGGTGGATCATTAGAACGGTCCAACTCCTCGATTCTGGGGTCCGGGGGAGGATTGCCCTCATTCCCATGGGGAACGTCGGGCGCATTGAAGCTAGGGACGCCCGGCCCACACGAAGCCGCCGCTCACGAAGCCGAGCCGACAGACGAGCCGACGCGAGCCAAAAAGGTGATTGGCCAAGCAGCGCAGACACTGGGACTCTCACTCACAAATTGTACCTCATCAACCAAGGGGCTGCCTGCCTACCACAAATGACGTGCATTTCTATAGAGCATCGGCCTGCTTCTGCTTTTTCCCGCTGTTCCTGGTGGCAGATCCGGAAGTGATGCGAGATCTAGAACGCGGCTGGCTGTCCTGGCCGTCTGGCCTCGTCGGACTCGCCGCCTTATTATGCGTCGTCCCGACGAGATGTGGGGCTGTGGAAACGTAGGGAGAGGGGTCCCTCGACATCAAACGGATCGACTGACGATTCCTCGTGAGATTCCAGCAACTGACCCGTAAAAGTGTGGTTTCGTAGCACGATGGCAATCCGATGCCGAAGCCGTGAGTCGGCTGTGGGCCTCACATGCGGCTCCGGATGCTTCCCAGCTTCTCAGAGGAACAAAGTTAGTTCATAACACTCGTAGTGCGCCTACCTTCCGACGACTTGAGATCAAGAATATTCATTCACTCTCGAGTCTGTGTCCCTGTATCCCTGTGTCCCTGTGTCTACACTACCTCAAGTCTATCACCTTCTCTCCTTGAAAATGGGCTCAACAAGCACAAGATCATTCCCGCCGGGAATTCACGCGCCCAGCCTAACATGGTTCAAGAATGATGCCAACCAGGAGCTCGACTGGGATTTGCAGAAGAAGCATCTCGAGTTTCTGATTAGCTCTGGGCTTGATGGCGGTAAGTGCATATTCATGAAAAAGTTTTGTGCAGCTACTAACTTGGAATTATGCAGTCGTGATAGCAGGGACGAACGGCGAGGCCGTCGTTCTCTCGCAAGAGGAGAAGACAAGACTCGTGAAGCTGACCCGTGAGGTCGCTACGTCTCTGGGCCGCGCAGACCTGCCCATCACTATGGGCACGTCCGGCCAGTCAACACGCGAAGTTATCGCAGAGACGCACCGCGCCAAGGAAGCGGGGGCTGATTTCGTCCTCGTCCTTGTGCCCAGCTACTTCCACTTCGCCATGAACGAGGAGGCGATCGTGGGCTTCTTCGAGGAGCTGGCCGACGCCAGCCCTGTCCCCGTGCTTATCTACAACTTCCCCGGCGTCGTTGCTGGCTTGGATGTGAATTCCGACATGCTGGAACGCCTCGGCCGCCATCCCAATATCGTGGGCGTCAAGCTTACCTGTGGTGGAATTGCCAAGGTGGCGAGGGTCAGGGCAACCTACGAGCCAACTCAGTTCTGTGCTCTCGCCGGGCAGAGTGACTGGCTTGTCCCAGCGCTGTCTGTGGGCAGCACTGGCGTAATCACAGGAGTGGCGAACCTGTACCCCAAGGTGTGCACAAATATCTATGACCTCTTCAAGGCCGGAAAGGTGCAGGAGGCGGAGGCAGCCCAGATTGAGCTGGCCAAGATGGAGTGGGGCTTTGGCAAGGGAGGCATCAACGGGACAAAGTGGGTGGTGGCCAAGATTCTGGGCTACCCTGCGGAGAGCTGGCACTGCAGGAAGCCGTATCCCAAGTTCGAGGATGAGAAGAAGCAGAAGTGGATATCAGGAGTGGTAGAGCCTCTATCTCAGACCGAGAATGGGATCAAAGTACGAAGTTTTTAATTAGAATCATAGAGCCGCTGTCAAAGACAAATATTATGAAATGATTTGCCATCTTAGACAATCAATTAGGCTTCCATAGTCCCAAATTTGTGTCGAAAATCTAGTCGGTCTGCCCTGTCTATAATGATTCCTGCAGTAAACTCATACATGGATGCCTTCTCTTCATATTTTCGTGGTAGTGACTTAGGCCAGGAAAATGGCTTCGGTCACATTCCTAGATGATGAACATTGATTTCAAGTAAAGTAACTCAGCAGGAGCTGTTTATCTCCACATATAAGACAGTTCGGCAAAGGAGTCAACTTAAATTGGCCGTTGATAAGCTCTACGGGAATTGATACATATGGGTGATTTAGCGACCAACTTCGTCTATGTGAGCCACTGAGAACATCAATATGAGAGGACAATTTTCTCTCGTTTCAATCGATTGTCTAAAACGGCATTTGCTATCATAATCCTCGGCTAAGTAGTATCCAATTCACATTACTTCTGATGATACGAACTGGATAGGATGGCAGAAGCCCTGGATATGCGACAGACGTCGGGTTCGCGAGTCCCGCAAAAGTTACAGACAGGGAGAGTGCACGCATATGAGATAATATTTAGTCACGTTGTAGCAATTACGAGCAGCTTGGGTGAAAATCGATTTGGTATTTCCCCTCTTCGCTGTGACAAAGGGATCATACCGTGCGAACTAGATACACTCCATTTCGAGACAGCCAAATCAAGACGTAGGTCTCTTATCTTCCAACAGTTACTCCAGCTGCAAGCCGCCAATACCTCATGCAAATATTGTGGGTCATTACTTATTCAGAGCTGATAAGTCAGTTTTGACTGGATGAAGATGGTTCTTATGCACCGTGTTCACATTGATGCGGAGGTGCTCCTCTTGGAATCACCTGATTGCACACGATCATCCTCGGCAATGAGGAGTAGATCCCAAGGGGAAGCCGTTCTCGAGTCTGAGGACTTTTACAGGAAGTGAGGAATTCCCCGCTCAGAAACGCTTTCCCCAGGGTCGATGTTCTAGTGATCTTTTCTCGCTACTCCATCATACAGTATGGTTGTAAACTCGGACATACAAGGAGCAAATGGTCTCGATCAATCTGATAAGATAGATGTTCAGGCACTCTCCAACAAATATTCAGAGGAAAAGGAGAGACGGCAGCGGGCGGATGGTCTTGCCCAGAATGAGGAGCTCGAGGAGTCCGAGAATTTCGCATCACTTGCTGATGACCCCTTTGTTGATCATGATGCTTTAAACGCTCATCATCCTGCCCTAGAAGATGGCCAAGAAGTGCGAGTCATTATTCTCGGTGCCGGGTTTGGTGGCATTCTTTTCGCTTCGCGTCTCATTGAGGCAGGCATAAAGCCTAAGGATATCCGGCTGGTCGATGTTGCGGGAGGGTTTGGGGGCACTTGGTATTGGTAAGTTTGCGGTCCTGTGCTCTTTCTGGACCAGGTAGCATTAACCTACAAATTGATAGGAACCGCTACCCTGGAGTCATGTGCGATACTGAGGCTTCGGTCTACTTGCCTCTACTTGAAGAGATAGGCTACATGCCGAAGCACAAATATTCCTACGGGGAAGAGATAAGAGGCCACTGCGAGCGAATAGCGAATTATTTTGGCTTCGCAGATAAAGGTATGTTCCGAACGGCGATCAACAGGGCCGTGTGGAACGATGAGACGAGGCGCTGGTCTGTCGAAATGGAGCAGAACCGCGGACCAAAGCATGGGAAATTCAGCTTGACGGCGTATTCCCAATTTTTCTGCCTTTGCAACGGCGTTCTTAACCACCCGAAGGCTCCAAAGATCCCCGGTCTCGAGGATTTCCAAGGTCAAATGTTCCATGCGGCTCGTTGGAACTATAATATCACTGGAGGTTCGCAAGCAGATCAACGAATGACAGGACTTCGGGGAAAGAACGTCGGCATCCTTGGAACCGGCCCTACAGCGATCCAGGCTATACCGAAACTCGCCGAAACCTCGAAGAAGCTCTACGTTTTCCAGCGAACACCCGCTTCTATCGGTTATCGGAATCAGCAAGCGACTGACCAAGCTGAATGGGAGATGCATATTACAGCTAAGCCGGGCTGGCAGCTGGAAAGAACCAGGAACTTCGAGCTGCTATGCCAGGGGGAGCCAGCCGACGACCGATATCTGACAGATGGCTGGACGAAGCTCAAAACGTTTGCAGCCTTTGTCGGCAGGTCAAATGCGCCTGTGATTACGAAAGACCTTGTTCAAGAGCACATCAATGACTTTGTCAAGCTTGATGCACCTTTTCAGGAGCGCATTCGCCACCGCGTGGATGAGGTGGTGCGCGATCGTCACACGGCGGAAATTCTAAAGCCGTGGTATCACACATGGTGCAAGCGTCCAGGTTTCCACGACGAATATCTCGAAACATTCAACCTTCCGAACGTTCATCTTATTGATATAGCCGACACGAAAGGCATCACTGCCGCTTCCACCAAAGGCCTGATAGTGGGTGAACGAGAGATCGAGCTCGACGTGTTGATTCTTAGCACTGGCTTCCGACCCATCGTCAATCTTCAAGATCCGGACCCGGGGGCGAAATCTAATACGATAATTATCGGTGCGTCAAGTCTCCCTTAAGTTTACTCTACACGTTGGCTTACTCGAGCAATGCCAACAGGACGTGATTCGATTCCAATGGCAGATAAATGGGCACTCAAGGGAGCTGCCACATTGCTTGGCTCAATGACACACTCGTTTCCGAACTTGCTTCTGAGCGGCGGCACAACCCAGTCAGGGACAAGCCCCAACAACACGGGTGCTCTTGACGCTCTCGCCCGTCATGCAGCTTACGTTATCACCGAGTCCTTGAGAAGAGCAGATGATGCCGGACGACTTGCCATTGAGCCCAGCGCCGAGGCGGAAGAGTCATGGTCAGCCGAGATCTTGAAATATGACCTATTTGCCGCCCCTATTGCTGTCTGTACACCAGGGTACTTCAATTGTGAAGGAGAGGCCCTGGAACCTGTGTCAGAGGAAGAAGAACTCAAAAGGCGGAGGGGATCCTCTTACATGAGAGGACTTCCTGCGTTCCGGAAAATATTGGATGACTGGAAAACTGATGGACAGATGGCAGGACTAGTTGCGAGAGCCTGAAGGACGTTACGGCAAATACTTTGGTACGGACGTTCTGGGGAAGAGTCGATTTTCTCTTTTGTGCAGTACTTCAGCTGGCATTACTTGAGTTCTTTAATACCAATTAGCTTCATAGGTATCTGAACGTATATAATGAATCATTTGTCACACCAGAGAGTGTTATGAAACCACAGAACTGAGCCTAAGAGGATCTTATGAGCCTACAATCAATCGTATAATTTCCCTACAGCATTTGAAAGAAATATGAGTTGAATATTCGAAGTTCATGGATGTCAGGAGTGATATAACAAATTAAGTGGGCGTTCATCGTTATTCCGCTATATGTGAATATGCTGGATTTGGGATCGAGGAAGTCAAGAAATGATTTAAAAGCATTTTAGCCTTTCTTGTCTCACCCAGAAAGGCCAGTAAGATCACTTGGCTGCACATCGTCACCATAAACGCTGCGCTGGATCCGCTTCACCAAGCTTCATTCTTTGCTCTGAGTGCACTGTAGTCTTGGCCCTTGGTAAGAGACTGGGTCTTATTGATTCCCCTGAGTAGCTATTGTAGTATAGATATTTCTCTGTCTCCGCCGTTTGATATAATCGAGAAGATCTTACTCTCGTGCAATAATCACATGCTTGTCGCCTCTTGAGGCGCCGCTCCAGGACTGGTTGTAGACCTCATCCACCCAAACAACCCACTCGAGGTCGATCTCAGGCTCGCTCGGTGAAATGAAAGTCATGATCCCGGAGAAATTGGGAAATATTTTGAATTCATTTGCGTTTCCACGAAATCTCTCTTGCTTGTTGATGGTCGACAGGATGTTGTGGATATCTGTGGTTCCACTGCTGTTCGAGGAAGACGAGTCAACACATACTCTCTTTTCCTGAGCAGGGCTTCATGAGAAGCGAAAACCTCGACTTGTAACCACGAAGATTTATTGACATACATTACCCGGCCATCACCATTTCCGAGACGTCTGACAGAGACAAGCAGTCGGCCATGGCTCCAGACATTGACAAAGTCATCATCATAGGTGAAGTCGGCTCCCCATTTGTAAATATAGAAAACGCCTTTTCTCTGGGTAGAGGGCTCAATTGCGGCCTCAGCCCACTGGAAGTCTCGTCCTTTAAGGCAAGACTTCCTTCCTTTGGGTTCGCGCGGCGAATGCCATGTTCGAGGTCGCACATGTCCGTTTGATCTGTTTCGTCACACTCCAGGAGGCGAAATTCGGCGACTTTTGACCGCCGGAGTGCCGGGAGTGGGGAGGATGCAACTTTCGACATCACTAAAGGATGTGTTTGCTGTTTGGTTGAAGGTAAATTGAAATTATCATGTGAGGAATTAGTATTGAATTAGTATTTGCAGAGTGGTTGTCATTAATTCGCTGGAAGGAATGTAACATGCTTCTCATGAAATGGTCCACCTCATAGAGACCGGTTGACTTGAGTGCCTCTAGTCACTGTAACATGTGCATAATGCAGTCACAAATCACTGAATTGTCGATGAAAACAACAGCATAGCTTCAGTTCTAGAAATCAGGGGGATTGAGGCCTTCGAAGCAAAATGTTCTTACTGCGCAAAGGGTGACAGTTGCTTCGTGTTGCGTTCCAGCCAAGGCCATATATTCCAAATCATCTAGCTAGACAGCAGAGTTAGAGTCAAGATCGTTGAAGATAGTATGTGCCAGTCAACTTGGTCCCCTCATGAGTCCCTGCTTTGTTATAGGTATCTGAGTACAGTGAATTAGGCCTCTACTAAACATTGGACTTGTGCTTCAAATATTGCCAGCTTAGCTCTGAGTCTCTGGTGTTACGCGTTCAAAGCTCAAGCTGATTGATCAAGTTCCAGTATTACCTGAGGTGCCAAAGAAGTTATTCTATTGAAGAAGAAAAAACTCGATGTTCGTACAAGTCTGTACTGCCAAATTCAAGTGACCGATTCGTAGAGTTACTGTCCAAATTTTGACTCAAATTGCCCCAAATACTCCCCAATTTGAAGGAATACCACATGGGCTGTATACTCACAATCTTTGCCTCCGTGACATTCTAGATTCTACTGCGTCACAACCTTCCACGTCCAGTCACTATGATCTTTCAAGCTTCAATTCCCTCATTCACAGTACGGGACATCATTTTCAGAAACTGGTCTACACGTATCTCTGAATTCCAAGTATATGAAAGTTTCTGGTTGCTTCCGCTGCTTTACGCAGCTAAGTGATGGTCATGACCGATGATTATCAATCAGGTTGAATCTTTCATGTGTTTGGATCAGCTTTATTTGCACCTTTTGTGCGAATTTCTAAAGATGTGGGCAAACTTTTGAGACCCTTGCAAGTTATACTCAAAAAGCACCTCAAGGCAGCATGAATAGAGCATGGGATCTACTTTGTGAAGATGAATATCTCGTGATTAATATGAAGGCTACATATCATTAAAAATTTATCAACTCTTTCCTGGCAAGCTATCAGGGGAGTTCTCGTTCGTAACGCCACTCCACGCAGGGCGCGCCCGACCATCCGGCACTACAGGCTCTACCATCGCATCAGCCATCGCATCATCGTAGCTCGGTGGCGCATCGTCGTACGCCGGCGGCGCTTCTGCAACAGCACCACCAGCAGCGGCAGAGGCCGCAGCAGAGGCCGCGGCAGTCGGCGCCTGGTTGTGTGACTGCGCCTGGGAGGCAGTCTGCCCGGGCCTGAGCTGTGGCGGGTACAGCGGGTCGTGCGGCCGTTCTTGTCGCGGCGGGAGCGCGGGCGCGGACTGGCTAGGGCGGGCAGTCGGCCTTTGTTGTGTTTGTTGTCTGCGGGCTTTCATGGCGGCCTGGGCTAGGCTCGCTGGTGGCTCGAGGCCCGAGTATACCTGTACCGAGCTGAAGTGCAGCGGTAGGAACATCGTCTGCGCCATGTTGTACATGGGATCCTTCCCCTTGCCTTTGGACTTGCCCATCTTCATCTTCGAGGGTAGAGAAGACTGTGAGGCCCCTTCATCTGGGATAGCTGTTGCGGTCCCTGGCGGTTTGCCCCAGCTAACGCCGAGTTTGAGTTCTAATGCGTACGATCTCTTGAGGTTACACGTTACGAAGCTCGGCATGACGGTGTTGGGTAAGGGCCTGTTGCTCCACAACACATTGTTTATTTCTGTTTCAGTGCCAACGGCGTCGTTGGGTCCTCTTTGCAGTGGAATGGCGAGGTCGTGACGCGTGACGACAACCCAGCGTGTTGTCTCTGTGTTGACGAGGTCCTGACATCGGACAAGAGTGGAGCCAACAAGGTCAACCTGGAGTGAGACCAAGTAGCATTCTGCGCTGGTTGCGACGAGTTTCTTGGCGAGCAGACGGAGCGGAATGGGTTTGTTGCAGGTGAGAATCGCCGGATGTGGGAGCCGGGCAGAGACTTCTATTGACGGAGGCTGATCGTGGTCTGAGGATGATGAGCCATTGGCTGCGAGGCTGGTTGAGCTTTGCTTGCGGCTGAACACGGATTGCCGTTTTGACTGCGCTTGTAGGTTGCCATTGCTCCCTGGGCTCTTGGGCGTAAATGTAAAAGGCCGCCTTGCATATCCCTCCTGATTTGTTGACGGTGGTCGCGGTGGTTCGATGGGCATGAATTTGAACCCAAGTTGATGCCTGATATTCTCCTTGAAAAGCCCTGGCCGCTGGATCGTCACCTTGACATAATACCTAATTTCTGCCTCTCTGGGGAAGCCTGTGAAGCTTGGAGGAAGTGTCTTGGTGACATGAGGGTACAGCAATTGTTTGCTCCCATCCATCAACCTGATACCGCCCATTCCAAAGAGACTCGGGCCCGCAAAGCCTCCAGCGCCAGCCAGACCACCTATCTTGACCATTGCATTGGGATCGCCGCAAGCGTTGTTGAAGGGTACTTTGAAGCTAAATGGCCACTCATGTTGCCCGGGATTGAGGACCACTGGTGTGGCGTAGGCGGGGACGTTCTCGCCGGGAAAGACTTGCTGGACTCTGTAGAGAATCTTGTGGTTCTCGTGAAGGGTCTGGGAATTTTCTGCGACAGTAGCTCGTCGTCGACTTGCGCCTCCAAATTGGATGTCGGTTGCATCCGGGGCACCCAAGGCTGTTTTGGACTCGCCTTCGAGTTTGACGATGACAGCGCCGATTTGCTCTGGCCGACTGATGCCGAGAATAATCTTGCCGGAGATGACATCGAGGTTGGTATAGAACTCTGGCGGGTTGGCCAGAGCAATGCGAACCGACATTGTAACAGTGGATTGGGACTCGGAGTTGTTGTAAAGACTGAGATGCCCGGGTTGGGCCTTGCATGAAAGCCTTCTTGGGGCTGTCCTTGACGGTGTCACTCACACCTGCATATTCTCAGGGAAACCCGACGTCAGCGTCCAAGTCCGTAAGGTGAGCCCTTCAACTCAGTGTCGGCTTGGCCGCCAGATACGGTGATAGCCAGTTTGTGTGAGTGACAGGAACGAGCTCGGCGTGAGAAAACTGAGATGCAAACGCGAGGGTTCCGCGAAGCAGAACCCAGAGACTTTGGGGTCGATGTAGACTAGACAACGAGAGAAGCTTAAGCTTGGTGGCAATTGGTTGGGCTGGCTAGGGCCGGGACGACGCAAGCAGATGTGCTTCGCCTCACTGCTCCGTCTGACTGGGGATGGGTTGATTCGAAGGCCTCCAACCCAAGTCCTGCAGGAGCTGAAGCTGGCGAGTGGTCCAATAGCTCTTCGCGTCTTGCAAAGACGCAGATTGGGACGCAGCTCTTAGCGAGACATACACCGTAGATGTCGATGTACAGCAGCACCTATGCTTCAGACGTTGGAAAGTGGGGTCTGAGTTGGGTGCTGCTACGTTCCAGGGTCTCTTTTCGGGCCTGCTCTTGAGGCCGTGAGGCAGTCGATTCATGCATGGGACAAGGCGAGGCTGGGGCCAAAGGAAAGAAAAGTACACGGAAAATTGCCAACACAGGCTGTCAAGACAAGCACAAAGCAGTGAGTGAGAGAGAGAGTGTGTGTGTTTTTGCGCCGCCCTTGCTGCTGTGACCATCGAGTCGAGCCAGTGACGTCCCACTTTCGGTCCCAGCCGGCCGGGCGCGGAGCTGCACCGGTAGCGCCGTGGGTCCCTTAACGGGCGAGGGGCCGCCGTCTCTTTTGTGTCGTTTATCGATAAGAATAATTTTTGGTTCGACCGACAAGACGAGCGGACGATGATCATCTTTGCTCGACATTATCCACACACCAGCCTGGTCACCGCCTCCAATAACCGTTTCTTCCAGTAATGATAACGACATAGTCCACTTTGCCCGCCCAAGTGCCCTCCACAACATGGGCAAAGCATCTACTAAGCGCAAAGGCGCATCGTCGTCCTCCTCTACTCCCTACGAACGCCCCTCCAAGAAGTCCGCCGGCGCCGCAGCCTCCAGCAAGAACAATGTCTTCAAGTTCAATACAAATGTCGGCCAGCACATCCTCAAGAACCCGGGTATAGCAGACGCCATCGTGGAGAAGGCCAACCTCAAGCCCACCGACACCGTCCTCGAGATCGGCCCTGGAACGGGAAACATCAGCGTGCGCATACTGGAGCGGGCCAAGAAGCTGTACGCAGTCGAGTTGGATCCGAGGATGGCCGCAGAGATCACCAAGCGTGTCATGGGTACCCCCTCGCAGAAGAAACTCGAGGTCCTGCTGGGCGACGCTATCAAGCTGGACTTCCCGCCTCACGACGTCTGCATCTCCAACACCCCTTACCAAATCTCCAGTCCCCTCGTCTTCAAGCTTCTCAGCATGCCGAACCCGCCAAGATGTTGTGTTCTCATGTTCCAGGTACGTGACCCCGGTCCCCGACTCATTAATGAAGTATTTGTTCTTGCTATACGTACGCACCGTGCTGATCACTCCCACTCCCACTGCAGAGAGAATTCGCCCTCCGCCTAACAGCCCAACCGGGCGACGCCCTGTACAACCGACTCTCGGTGAACTCGCAGTTCTTCGCCAAGATCACGCACATCATGAAGGTCGGCAAGCAGAACTTCAAGCCCCCGCCGCAGGTGGAGTCGTCGGTGGTGCGCATCGAGCCGAAGCTCGGCAAGGACAGGCCGGCGGTCAGCTGGTCCGAGTTTGACGGCCTGCTGCGCATCGTCTTCAGCCGCAAGAACAAGACGGTGCGCGCCAGCTTCAGCACCAAGGAGGTCCTGGCCATGATCGAGAAGAACTACCGCACCTGGTGCGCCATCAACGACGTCCCCGTGGACGACAGCGAGGTCGAGGGCGGCGGCGGCGCCGCGGACGACGATGAGGAGGACATGGGCATGGATGTCGACGACAACGCCGGCCCCTCGGCCGGCGGCGACGACGACGAGTGGGGCGGCATCATGGACGTTGATGGCGAGGATGCCGGCGATGACGACGTGCCCGCCTTCTTCAAGGAGCAGGCGGCCGCGGCGACGGCGGGCCAGATCGCCAAGACCCCCAGCAGGAAGAAGAAGACCAAGGTCGCGGAGCTGGTGCGGGCCAAGGTGCAGCGGGTGCTCGAGAGCACGGAACTCGCTGACATGCGCGCGGGGAAGCTGGGCGAGAATGCGTTCCTGAGGCTGCTGTACGCTTTCAACAAGGAACACATCCATTTCGCATAGGTGGCAGCGGGGTTCTTAGATGTGGGGGAGGGGGGCCACTGGCCTTGTTTATTTGGCATGTCGATGGCTACAGGTTGGGAGAGGGACATCATTAAATTCATTGTATCGGCGTTGAGGTCTACAGAATGTGGACATGGGAAAAGCTTTCGGCTTGTACTTATTTCATTGCGATTTCATGATACCTAATGGGACGAAAGAAGCTCCTCAAAACGAGACGAATGAGACAAGATGACTATTCATGGCAAAGGTTATTTGAAGTGACTTGGGTTGAAGCCTTTCATGGTCCAATATCAAATGACGCTGCGACCTGGCCTCATACCTGCTGCGGCTTGTTTGTGTCCTTGCTTACGTTGAACATCAGTGCCCTGGGAACACAGGAGTCTTGATACGAATAAAGCCGTGGAATATGATGTTGAGATTGAGATTGAGATTGATATTGAGATTTCTCGTGGTATTCGAGCTACATCTATGCTATTGTATGCCCCAGGATATAGAATAAGTTTATGCTGCTCTCGTTTAACCAAATCGTATACATCCCTGTCCGGCCAACCAAACCCGGCCGGCGACCATGTGTAGTCAGTCCATGACAAAAAGAGAAACACAGAGAAGCGCCTTTCACCTAGCCATGCCGTCATTAACATTCCAGTAGTAGTAATACAGTTCAACACCAGCGCTACTCTTACACCTCACCCCAGCTTCCCATCGGCCCTGTACTGGCGATCATGCTTCCAGTGCCAATGCTGCCAGCGCCGTCGCGCGCGCCAATGTCCCAGTAATGCCTACTCGAGTGTCTTGATGAGACACTCATACTGCCTCGGCGGCCACTCCTTTTAGTGCTCTGGCTGGCGCAGCTACTGGCGTGCCTGACAAGTTGACCCGGCGCACCGGTTGGCACGCTGACCTTGAACGACGTCCGCCTTTGATGCGAGTGGACACCGCGGACAAGGGGGTGGTGTTGTCTCACTCGGGCCGCTGCCCTTGCTGCAGCATCTTGAGCCGAGGACGTGGTGTGGGATTGCGAATGCCCAGATGGGTTCGAGGCAGCGGCGCGAGATGAGGTGAAGCGATTGCGCAGATACCGGAAGACAAGTTTGATGTCTAGGTCCTGCTCCCACTCTTGTTGAGTAAAGGCGCCAGGGATTTTCTCAGGGCCAGACACCTCGCTTGAGACGTCTACAGTTTTCGTCCTGGGGATGTCCATCGGTTGAGCATGGGGGATCGCCTGTAGCGTAGGCTGGAACTTGGGCATCGACGGCATTGTGCTCTCATCGGCGATGGAAGACCTCTGCGAAGCAGCATGCCTCTTGGCCTCATTTGTTTCAGTGGATGTCGGTGCAGCCTGGATGGATGCAGGTTGTAGGGGTACAGTGCCTGTCTCGGGAATGACAGGCAATCCAGCGTAAGGGAGTGGCATCTGCTGCATGCGCGTGTACGTTGAGAACGCACCCGGATGTGGGTGCGCGGACAGCTGGTTGACCAAATCGCCGAGCTCTTGGGCCATCCTGTCGAGGAGTTGAAGCTGCCAAGATGGCTCGGGCTCCACCACATTGGCCCCAGGCGCGATGGCCCGTGGCGTGGATGAGAGATCGTCGCTCTCGAGATCCAGATCTTCGGGAAGTGCCTCGCCAAAAAGCACGCACAGTAGTTTGTCGTCGATGCCCATTAAATCACGAATGACACTGCGTGTGATGCGCGTCCAGTAGCCGGCTTCCTCCGCCTCTCCTGCGCCGAGATCCATCTCGGATGCGTCCTGGTCGTGCCACTCCGTTCCTGCCATGGAGGCGTCAGGAGTCGGGTCGCCAGCCGTGCTCAGCGCCGCATCCTCTGCCTCTGTCTCCACGAGTGCTTGACTGCCTCTTCTAATCCTGTCCGTCAGCGTGGACACAGTCGACTCTCTTCTCCGCCTGGTTTCCTTCTGTATCTCTTGGAGTAGTACTCGGCTCTGTTCGAGGCGCCAGTCTTCGATACGCCGCCTTCTATCGGCTTCCTGTGCCTCCTCGCTCTCCAAGGCAAGTTGCCCGAGTTCCAGACTCTCTCGTCGTCTCTTTACTCTGCGGGGATTGTAACGCTCGAACTGGTACATAGTCTCCTGCATCTCCGTAGCCAGCCCCTGGGTGTCTACTCTAAAACTACCCAGCCCATCATGACCTGGGAAGATGGTGGTTGACTGTGCGGTGCCTCCTTGCTGCCCCTTGTGCAAGAAATCTGGCAGGTGGCTGTCAAGACTGTCGAGCTCGGCATCGTCCTCGGCGGCGTCGTCTTCTTCGAGGATGTCGGAGTTTGCAGGCTCGGAATAGAGGTTATCGGAATGTGCTATTGTTTGCAAGCTCCCGATATCGCTTATCCTTGACCGGCCAGGTGTTGGCTGATCGTCTTGTATTGACGAAAGGTAGGATACTGAGGTCCCCGAGTCGGTGGCAGGGGAGAATAGGACCCAGGTTTGCGACTCGTCGCGGGACTGTGTAAGTGGTGGGGCGGGCGCATGCGTTTCTAAATCCGCCGAATTCGGGGCGACTGCCCGCGAAGTGCGCTGTGCGACTTGTCTTGTAGGTTGATGGAAGGCCATGATGTGCACAAGAGAACGTTGACAGGAGTATAGAGGTCAAGGAGCGGCCTTGAAGCCGCGGGGTCGAGACGTCGGTTGGGGGGAGGGGAGTGTTAGATAAGGTGGGATGGAGACGGCGAGATCGCTCTTGGTGGAGCGCGCAATGCCGTGTCGCAGGGTTGCTGTCCACAGCAGATGCGACTGCTGAAATTGCAACGAGTTTGTATCGGGATCTTGGGTAGACAGACAGCAACCTGTCGTGTCAAGTGAGAGGGGCGATTTTTAGGACCGAGATGGCATGATGAGTGGATCGTGGTCTAGCCGTCGTGTTCCGTCCCACGGGATCGGGTATAAGTGAAGCGCACCACGACGACGGGGAGAGGCGGCAGTGGTGTCACAGAACCACTTTCCTCGTCGAAGAAGAGAATTGATAAGTGGAGGCAAGACGGAACGGATCCGACCAAAGCACGTAGCTATGTCGGGTTTGTACGGGCGTAATTCGGGACAAGGGGTGCGGTAGGGATGTCGTCAAGAGCACCAAAAATGACTAAAGGCCTTCCTTTCAAAGAGTAGTCTTGGGAGGACTAAGGGTCGGAGTAGATGACGTGACGGGGACAGTAGAGAGGGATGAGGGACCGTTCAAACCGGAACAATAAGGCACGAGGTCGGGAAGAGGTTGGAAATAGATGTAAACTCGCTCGTGTGTATGTATTTTCCACAGACGCGAGCACCAAGCGTGTTCTGTAATCAGGAACTTCCCAGGAGGGAATCGGATAGAGGGAGGAGGAGTGATGAGAAATGATGGGACGGTGATGGCCCCCAACAATGCAGTGAAGTGGTGTTATTGGCGCTGGGCAGGTCAAGGGAGCCCAGCCTACAAGCAGCACACCATGTACCAGACTAGGTAGGTATTTCTGTACAGCACACCCCGACGCGGCACAGGCGGATTTGTTCTGTCGGTCAGAGAGGAAGGCAGGTAGGGAGGTTATGGAATTATGGAAAGGAGGGAGGGTGGTGAGACAGCTGGGCAGTCTGACAGTTGGCGTGTGCTTTGCTGATGTCGTTGACAGGTCGTTTGCTTCTTCTTCGGGGGGCGTAGGACCCCCACCAGTGAGATAGGCAGCGTGACTGAGATGAGAGACAGCAGATCTACCTGCCGCCGCAGTAGGTACCCGACCCAGATAGTCCAGGTACCTCCTGTTGGCTGCCCCTCACACGCACACCACTGGTAGCGTTTACTGATGACGATCGTTTTATGTAGATGACGAGCCATCTCCTCTCCCTCTTCTCTGCGCCCAACCATGCCCAGCTTGTTGCTCTCCTGGAACAGCTGGGAACAGGAAAAGGCAAGATTGCATTTGCCATCCAAGGGTCTCTGGCCGAGTCGCGCAGCTGGACAACAGCCCACGTATAATCTTATCCAACATAAGCTCCCGCGCCTCGGATTAGGGACCGAGGGTCTCACTCATCTTGGCCCCTTTCGACCTTGAACGGTGTTCCATCCTGCAGCTATGGCCCCCTCAAGCTCAGACTCGACGGGTGCGACTGCAGCTTGGTTGGTGTGTCATCATCGGTAGGCCCGACTCATGGCATGTTTGCAGCATGTTCCTTTGTTCCAAGCTGGAAATCACCTCACCTCTTCACGCCGTCCCGCCACTTCTTGCTCACTCTACTGAGCGAGTGGGTGGGTGGGTTGCCCGGACTCAAACACGGCGAACCACCAGCCTGCGTCTCCTGGCAGGGCTGACGATGGCCTTCCAGATGCTGCATGGTATTGGGGCGGGTCTTCGCTACCCCCGATCTCCTTATCTCAAGAGCGGGCCTTCCCTGGTGATAAGATGGCATCAGACCCACACTTCCTGTCATCGGCACCCTTTGCACCGTCGATGTGACCTCGAGCCCGTCTGTCTACAGCCCAAGTCTGGAAACGCCCACCTGTTGGGCTCTGTCCGACAACCCGCTGCATCTCCGTGAGGGACAGAGATATCTGGGGAGAGATGCAGTGACTCATTGGCTTTTCAAACTACATTGCATTTACGGAGGGCTGGGAAACTTCGGGATCTGGGAAGGCGAATAGACCCCCTACTGATTCACAAACGCCGAAGATTAAAGCTTGGATGCATCCTTCAGATCCTGCTGTACCGCCATCCGACTTACTCGTGAACTCGCCGAAGTTGTTGCAAATTTTTGCCTCTTTTGAAACTGGTGGGTAACAGCAGTCTTGTCTGTCGTTCCAGGCTCGCCGGCTCGCAGGAGGGCAGTTGCCATGTCCTGCAATGATATCACGCGAATACATCTACCAGACTCCTTTACAGACCAACGATAGAACATCCTATTTCTATGCAGTAGATATACAAGAGAGATGACATGGACCAACGGAACGGGTCTGAGCACCATGCCCACCCGGCTACCTGGTCAAATGCCCTCTCAGCTCGGCTGCTACCGCCGGCCAGCGACTCCCGCAGGTCTCGAGGCCGGTACCGGTGCCTCGGCGACCGCACAGGTGACCGGCTCTCGAGTCTTGCTAAGTGTTCACCCGCGAGTTCTACTGGAGTGTCATGAGCCTTTCTAGTGCACGCTCTACCAATTTATGACGACTGGTCAAACATCTTTCAGGGATATGTCCACTTCATCATCGCATTGCACATTTCATTGCCACCGTCACTAGCATTGTCAAGTGATCCTGTGTAGTAAACCCCTTGGATTAGAATCCGATTTGAGTGAGTCGAAGCTACTTCTTTTCCGCAGAGGAAAAAACATCTAGCCTGAATCAACACAGCCCCTCGGCCTTTCGCAGTAAACCCTATTTACGCCAGCCCGGATCCCAAATGCAGTACGGTTTTTGATTTGTCATGCAGCAAAAAAGAAGAGAAGCCCCTTAAGCCTCGGAGAAGGCCTCGGGGAAGCGCTTCATGTTTCGCTCCAGGGAACCGTGGTTGGTCAGGAACTGCACGTAGGCACCGTCCACCTTGACGCGGCCAGCAGCCTTCTTCTCCAGGTACTCCTCGCGGCGGAGAGGGGTGAAGCCCCAGTTCTTGGAGATGATGATCTTTTGGCGACCGGGGAACTTGTACTGGGATCGGCGGAGGGCCTCGAGAGCAGTGGCGCGGTCTGGTTGTGGTTTGTTAGTGCTGCTGCGGTGCGATTATGATTCAAGGGACCATCAGGGAATCTAAACGTACTGGAGTCACGAGTACGGACAGACATGATGATCTGACCGATGTTGACACGAGCGACAGTGCCGTTGGGCTTGCCCCAGGCACCACGCATACCAGTCTGCAGTCTATCGGCACCGGCACAAGACAACATCTTGTTGATACGGACGACGTGGAAGGGGTGAGCGCGGACGCGCAGGTGGAAACCTTCCTTGCCGGCAACCTTGACGAGGTACTTGTTGGCGCAGATACGGGCGGCCTCGAGGGCCTCGGAACTCAGCTGCTCATACTCGTTGGAGACGAGGTGGATGCAGAGAGGGAAGTCGTCGACGGTAGCGCGCTTGCGGCCAAGATCGTAGATGCGGATCTTGGGGTCGGGGACACCACGGTTGAACCGGGACTTGGGGTAGGGCTGAAAGTAATCAAGTTAGCGACACTGTTTGCAGTTCCATCATGTCGAGGTGTGCTGCTGAAATAAATGTGTGTGCTTGGTCGATGAAAGCTACGGCGGATCTCTGCAGGTTTGCGAAGGCTGGGTCCCTCAAAGGATTCCACCCTCTGGCAGCAAACCGACAGAGGTTCGACGTCGACAAAGGCCGGCAGCATTCTTGAAAACATCCCCAATTCGGAGCGTTTGCAGACGTCTCGAGGCAGTAATTTTTATCCCTTTGATTCCCACCCACGATCATCCTCCTCGCAGTGCAGCACTCGCAGGATCGTTGCTCACCTTGTTCTTGCAGTAGCGGTAGCAACGAGCGGGACGACGGGCCATCTTGACTGATTGATGTCTTCTGGTCGGTTAAGTGTCGTGATGTAGGTTTGCTTCGTTGCGTTGCTGGGTGTGGTGTGGAGGGTGGAAATGACGGGGGCGTCCCTCTTTTCTGTTTTGCTCTCCTGGCCTGATTTCAAAGCAGCACGGCGGCGAGACCAGAATGGTAAGCGTTACAGTGCGGTGCGCCTTACTCAATGTGCCGTGTCCGAGCGCCCAAGACGCCCCATAAATTCACGTGCCTTCCCAGTAGGGCTTGCCAGGTGAAACTGCATTGTGATTGGCCAAGTCCCCACCAGCGGAGCGAAAAGTTCCCCTACCAGCTCGACAAACCATCTAGTTGACTTTTCTGACGGCCGACTGCGAGTGTGCTTGTCCATCTTCCTCCGACAATCCATCCCATCACTCGACCAGACCCAGATCACGACCAGATCACCACAAATCAGTCAAGATGGCCCCCAAGAAGAAGACCAAGACCGGTGACACCCTCAACTCTCGCCTTGCCCTGGTGATGAAGTCGGGTAAGGTCGTGCTGGGTTACAAGTCCACACTGAAGGGTAAGTTTTTAAATGCGTCTCTTTCCGAGTATCAATTGAGAATTTTCGCTGACTTGCTCCTGCTCTATTTAGCCCTCCGCTCTGGCAAGGCCAAGCTGGTCCTCATCGCTGGCAACACCCCTCCTCTCCGCAAGTCTGAGCTGGAGTACTACTCTATGTTGTCCAAGGCTCCCGTCCACCACTACGGCGGCACCAACGTAAGTTTCCCCTACGAAGTACCATAAAGTAGAGAAAGAAGCAAAATCAGTACCCCCTTTCTTCGGAGGACACGGCTGCACCTGCTTGCTCGTGTCCTCAACCCAGCGAAGGAGAGACCTGTTTTCTCCGGAGGGTAAATGCACTTGGCTGACCTCTTTGCTCAGATCGAGCTGGGTACTGCCTGCGGAAAGCTCTTCCGATGCTCCACCATGGCTGTCCTCGACGCTGGTGACTCCGACATCCTCAGCGAGCAGGCTTCCTAGAGAGATGCTTGACTTCTCCTGGGATGGCAGGCGTCACGGTCACGGCGTCCGGTTGGGCAATGGCGATGCGAAATCTTCTCGCACGGTCAATTTGCGACATGGCATAGGAAGGGAAAAGTTTTCTACACAGGGCATGATACCAGGTTGTCGTTAATGGCAGACCACGAAAAGATGAGGCATATCAACCTCTGAATGACTTTAGGGTAGCATTATGAGATCTGCTTCACCCAGCATCAATCCACACCTGGCTGCGCCGCCGTATTGACAGTATACTTGGCATTCTCAAGCATCCCCTTTCAAATCATCGTGACCAGCTTCCAGCGTGTGATATCAAACAAACCCAGCGTATCCTGAGCCTCTCCCGTTATTACTCGTGGACTATTGCCCTCATCTATGCCGGACCGCTTCTGCTTGTCAAAATTTGCCGCAAGAGGCGTGAAATCACGTCCAAACTCGATGCCGAGGGATCCATAGGTAGCTCATCGTCCGGCAACATCAAACTTTTGCTGCCAAGTCACTGATGATCGTAACACCACGGTCCCTAACATTCTATAGACCCCTGAGTTCAAGATTAGGTGGAAGCATGAGCACCCTCACAAATACCAAGACAAGCGACCGCAATTATATACGGTGAGAGGTAACTTGGACGACGGGCATCCAGGAGGACGACCACTGTCGCTGCCAACGTTGTGCACGACCAACCCATCCTGAGGGTAGGTTTGCTGTCGACAGCTACTTATTACCCTCCCACAGCAGCGAAGTGAGGTTATGGCCAGAGAGCTGATAAGGCAGATGGAGGTAACGATTGCAGAATAATACACGCTTCTTCAACACCAAAGGCTATAGCCGGAGGCAAGAGGCGTAAGCCACTGACCTATCCACGATACTCACTCCTGCCGTACCAAGCCCGCCATGCCGAAGATACGGAAGGTTTACCCGCCCAGGCAATGCCGTGGAGGGACATGAATGCTCCTCATCGAGAAGGATTGCCCACGAGCAGACCTCGAGAGACGCTTGCAAACAAGTATTGTACCAAAATCACATTTCTGAATTGGAGCCAGCCATTCAGCACAACAGGCCCAGTAGTGTTCTTTTGACTGTGTAGGGCGTCTTCTTGAGGCACCGTACATCCACTTTAAACCCTGGGAATCAGGGAGCTTCTCTAGCTATAGTATACTTCATCACTAAGCAAGACGGCAGGGACGTCAATTCGTGCTTGGGAACTTCTACGATGAACTCGTCACCGTGTCCGGTAGAAAACACGGATGGATTGATACAAAGGCATCTCCTCCAAAGGAATCCGGCATTGGCTTCAGGATTTCAGCTGTGCTCAACGAGATTTGTACTGACAGTTGGCGTCTCTGGCTATATAACTACCAAACCGTGCTCAGAGGGTGTGGGTGCATCCTGTTTCTCTGTAGCCAACTCTGACCCAGTGATGGGTGCCTTGCGAGACCCTTTCAGCCGAGGCTGGAGTACGGACAGCTATGAGCACGGGATGTAGTTGGTCCATTGCCATCAAAGATAACCATTGCGTGGAGACGGTGCATGTGAAGTGCTCACAAGCGGAGCAAAATTTGTATAGATATTTCCAGGGAAAGACGCTCCCAGGAGAAGGACAAAGAACCATCAACAAGTCCGCTTTTAGAGAAGGGTGTGACCGCAAGAAAATTTCTGTTAGGCTATGACCCAGAGAGATTCTCCACGGGACTGCTCTGCAAGAGGCTTTTCCGCAACAATTTATCGCGTGAAGGAGCTGATGCTATGAAAAATGTGGTATCTTCGCCCGGTCTCGCCAGTGCCATGAAGTATGCAACTCTGAAGATAGATGTAGTATCACTAGTATGAAGTCTCTTATCCGATGTAGCCATGAGGTTCAGGGTGTACGTGCTTAGGTCAAGCCACAGGCATCGCATTACGCGCTTACCGTGGGCAGCGACAGCGTCCTGTGTCAATGCCGGACTTCACCACCCACGCCAGCAAAGCGCGGAGAACACGGACAAGCCCGAGGTGGATCTATATCCGCTGAACCCGCCAATGCACTGAGCGCCTCTTGAGCAGGGCAATGCCGAAATCTGGACCAGAATGTGGGGAAAGAAAAAGACGCTCGGGGACAGTTGGATGTTGATAGTGCTTGTTGCGGCATCATTCTGTTCGTATCACGATCAACTACACGACGGCGTTGGTTATTGTGAGGCATGAGAACACCTATTGGCAATTGCATTCAACCAACGCGAGACGTGTTGGTATGAAGTGCTTTCTCTACCTGTCTAGGTTCTGTCATAGCTACAAGGAATGGCGAGGCGGGTTGTATATCCAGGACAATGAAAAGTGTACCTCGGAGAAGGTCCTGGTCGATATTGGCGAACCGCTACATCAACCGAGATTTGATTCAACTCTCACCGAGGACGACATTCCTGCACGATTAGTCACGTGGAGCCTTACAAGGAGATAATTGCTAGGACATACGGTATAGCCGGGGTTTTCCTGTGCGGCATAAACTTTGGAGATGAGCTCGCAAATGAAGGGCAGTCCGGGAGCATGAACTTTCACTCATTCGACCCTCCGCGGGTAGACGACAAGCACGCCGCGCACTGACAGCCCAGCGGGAGCGGATGCCCTCCACAGAAGCCACAGAAGTGAGCCGTGCTGTCTGGTAGCCGGCCAGCCCAGCCTGCGAGATCCGAATCACTGGGTAGGCCAAGCAACGCTGCCGTCAGTCTAGTCTGTGCATTATGCCTGTGCCTGGCGGGCTGAACATTCAGACTGGGATGTTGCTCGCAGGGGCTCGAAGTGGTTGAGTCACTCTATGGCCGCGTTGTTTCAATGGTCGTTCGACTTGCATATTCTAGTCGCAGACGGACGCTCTCGAATGAGTAGACTACTGTATGTATGGATGCGGTGCTTGGAGCATCTGTTGTCCGGTATATTGGCCAAATCATCAGTCAATAGATGGCATGGAGCGAGATATTGAAGGCTGTTATTGTCTACTGGCAAGGGCTATTTTATTGGCTTTGAAGGCACCGTTCGAGTCAGAGAGCAGCCACGCGCAACGAGTACGCAAGCTCGCCGCAGCATAATGCTTCATTGTTTAAGAATATCGTCACACAAGTATCGCATGTACAGTAGAGCAAGCCCTAACAGTTCTGTGTAAACAGTGCCATCAACATCCATCGCCTGGGATGCTAGACTGTCTGATGTTTGTTCGTCCAGTCATTCGCGCTGCTGATTGGAAAGGAAAAGGGGTGACGCGCATTGCTGAACTCTCCCTCCAGGTGAGATGTCGGCGTGGAGCAGCACAGGCCAATTGCCCCCCTGCGGTTGGGGGAGTGCCGAGACGGAGGAACCCACTCACCTCTCCCTTCTGTTTCTGCAGCCCATACCAGCTCGCCTGTAGACCCTAACACGACGCTAACAGGTTCCTGTCCTGGTTGCTCTGCCGATCGCCGCCCAGCCCTGGACGTCCAGACGTGCTGCTTCTGGCGCTAGTGCTGCTCCCGGAATCCCCAAGGCCCCAAAGGTCGCTCTCTGCTTTGCCCCAACTCTGCTTCGCTCTGCTCTGTCGTGCTCTGCTGATCCGACGTGCCTGTCTTGGATTGCATCGAGTCAATCGCGTTCTTCGAGACCTGCCAGCGCCACCTGCGTCTTCAGAATCTAGTCCTCATTTCTGGACGCGCACGCTCAACACAACCCAGTCCAACTTGGTTCTTGTCTTTCAGCAGCATTCGCACACTGACGGACATCCCATTTCGCATCCACAATTGCATCGCTATCTTCAAATCGCTGCCCACTGCATCTCCCCATGGCATCGCGCTAGTCGCCATCCCATCCTCCCAACCGGATATCCACTTTGGCAGCATCCAGAAGAGGAGTTTAGAGGTACGGACCACCTCTCTCACCGCATCTTGCTTGAGCGTTGCCCATGCTCTGCAAGTCCTGTTATAACCGCTGCTCGCGATACCTAGCGTGTTTCTCTAACCCTTTG